CTGCCCTGCTTCTCACCACACAAGTCCTTTCCCATGTGTTATTGTGGGGAGCACAGGCCCGAACCCGAGGCAGCTCAGGTCTGGCTGCCCAGTCTGTGGCATCTGGGTGTGGGTTTGAAATCCACCCTCCTCCCCACCGCCCACAGCCTCGCTGCTCTCGTCCGTATAAGGCCCCCTCAAGGCCCAAAAGCCAAACTGTGCTATTTATACTCCCAGCCCTACCTACCCTCCGCATTGTGTGCCTGAGGTTCGCGTTCCAATCGCTCCCGTATCCACCCGGAGCAGCTCCATGTCCCCACCAGGCTCTGGTAGCCACCAGCATCCCCTGTAGAGCCATGGGTGCCCCAGCTCAACAGCACGGAGCACCCCTGACCACAGGCTGCTCCTCCCAATAACCACCACCACCCATCACAGCCAGACCTGCCTTGAACCCAGCGCCCACATAAAGGACTTCAGGAATTCCCTCCTGGATGCACGTGCTGAGGGCTGCCTGTAAGGAATCCAGAACCCAGGCCTTTGGCATCTGCTGCAATAAGTTTAATTGTCAAAAAGCATTTGGAGGAATAATGCTGTGCTCTGGGGAGGGCTGCCACGTGCCATTGCACAGCTGAGCGTGGCACGTGTCTGGCTTTAGAGCAGCAGCTTTCTGCATGGGACATCTGTTATTTCATCCCGAGCTGCAGTAACCAGCCCCACATTCTTGTCTCCTAAAACCAGGAGATTTGGGATGAGGTCTTAGAATCATAGAATAGTTCGGGTTGGAAAGGGCCTTAGGATCATCCAGTTCCAACCCCCTGCCATGGGCAGGGACACCTCATCCTAAACCACGTCTCCCAAGGCTCTGTTCAACCTGGTCTTGAGCACTGCCAGGGATGGGGCAGCCACAGCTTCTCTGGGCACCCTGTGCCAGCGCCTCAGCACCCTCACAGGGAAGAACTCCTTCCTTATATCTAATCTGAACTTCCCCTGTTTAAGTGTAAACCTATTTCCCCTTGTCCTATCACTGCAGTCCCTGATGAAGAGCCCCTCTGCAGCATCCTTGTAGCCCCCTTCAGACACTGGAAGCTGCTCTGAGGTCTCCACGCAGCTTCTCCTCTCCAGGCTGAACAGCCCCAGTGTTCTCACCCTGGCTCCATACAGGAGGTGCTCAGCCCCTGCTCATCCTCGTGGCCTCCTCTGGACCTGCTCCAGTTTGTTTTTATTAGCAGCCACTCTCAACACATTTGCTGGTGTCCTGATTTCCCCGGCGGCCGGGAGCCTGGGGCACACACACAAAGGAAGCACTGAGGCTGCTAACGCCTGCACGCAGCCATCTGACAGCAGATGCCTCAGGAGGGCAAGTTCTGGGTATGGAAAGAGGACAAAAAGTCTGCCAAAAGCCTGTCCCCTTTGCTTTTGGTACGCAAGTCTTCCAAAGGGGAAAAAGGGATCCTTTGGAGGGGGGTGGCTTTTTCAAATGTAATTCTACAGAACTGATCAAACTCCCCACGTTCCATCAATACAGAAACTCTTCCCTTGGGAATCAAACCAGCTCCTCGCAAAATCAGGTACCAGTGTCTGTGACAGGGAGCAAGGGAGCAGCACAGGCACACACGGGGCTGTGGGTACAGGGCTGGGTTGATGCCTGCTCCTCAGCTGCCCCAGTGGAGGCGGCTTCAGCCCCTGCTTTCCCCCAGCCCAGCAGAGTGCTGGCTCTGCAGCACTCCCCAAACACCATCTGATTCCAGTTCCTCCTCATCCATCAGCAAAACACAACTTTCACCTCGTCTCCCAAGGTGCCCAAAGCTCTTATCTGCACTCCTGAAACAGTCCATCTGTAACTGCCTTCATGCTGAGACAATGACCAAACCCCTACAAACAGTGGAGAGCTGGTTTACCTCCACCTCCCTTTAATCCTCCAGAGCACAGGATCAATGACACTACATCCCACAGAGCACGCCAACTGTTTGACCTGGCTGGCTTGCCTGGAAACAGCCACTCCTGGGTTTAAGTAATATTCTATGTCTCCTCAGATGATTTGAGCTCTTGTTCTCCCAAAAGCCCAATAAATCTTTGCATTTTTACCCATAGCAACTGGAAGCGCAATTGCAGGGGCAAGTTAATCACAGCTTTCCAAAGGCAGCTTGCTCTGAGTTAGAAAGGAGTAAGAAGCTGCTCACCACCACAGAACGAATCACACTGCAGCCAAATCCCCAACACAAACCTTGGTAGGTGGGTCTTGTGAAGTGAAACACTGAATTAGAAAAGGGTTATTGTGTGGTTTTAGATTTGGTTTAAACCATAGACACCGAACTCAGAGACTTTTCCTCATTACCCCCCCAGGGTGGAGCCTGTCACGGGTTCAGGTTTACAGACTCTTGCTCCAGCTTTTTTCATGCCATGGTTAATACTGAAGCACAGGAAGGCATCAGGCCACGGGCAGCGAGGTGGGAATCACCAGCACCAAGCAGCGTTGATCAGTCCTGGTAAAGCAGCTGCACATCAGCCTCTCGAATGTACACACAGAGCCAGCACCTCTTTCTGCAGTTTTATTGTTATCTGGTTTACACAAGCCCAGGCAGTGCCACTCTCGTGACTGGGCTGCCTGGAACTGAATCCCTGACAGTGCTGGAACAGTCAGGTAAATACATGAGGACACAGAGCTCTGTACATCTGCTATGGGCTTCCCACTGCCTGCCTGGGCCAGGGATGCGTGCACAGTGACAGCTCCAGAACCACAGGGAGACACAAACTCCAAGCCCCCCCGTCCCTCCCAGGGCAAAACCAAGCAAACCAACCCCCTAAAACCAAACCAAAACTTCCCCAATCCCCCTCAGTGGTTAATAACTCTTTGGAATAAGAGGTCTCCACAAAGAAGAGAGCCTCCTGCATTGGACAAACTATTTTCCCTTACACCCAGCCACACAATTCCAGGTTCTGTACACTGAAAATGCCATGGTGATGTTTTCATGACATCTATCTCAGAGTAATGCAGCTACCAAACAACCCTGTTCCACAGGAGAACTGCTCATGACAATAGCTCTGAGACATACAGTACATTGGTATCGTTTAGAAACTTCCCCTATTGACCAACACTACACTTCCATTGTATGCAGGGAAGAGCAGCACTGCTGAGGAGTGCAAAACCATCCCCTTTCTCCTGGGGGGCTGCCTGTGCCCAGGCCTGGCCACCCCATTCTGTTGTGCAGCTCTGTCTCTGTGCAGCATCATGACCCACAGCAGCATTTGGTACTCAGGCACATTCATGCTGCTATTGCCCATTTCTCTCTAGTGTTCAAACACCCAAAGCCCATCCCGGAGCTTGTTGTCCAGTTTAAGCACCACATGAAGAGATAATCCAAGAGTTTCACCTCCAAAAGAGCCCTTTGTTTGCCTGAGCAGGGCTGATCACAGCTTGGGTCCCCCTGAATGGGATCCTTGCCCTCTGGGGCCAGGCCTGCCCTGTCTTCCCGCAGGGGGGGGGCACTGCCATAGAGAGCAAGAGGCTCCATTTCACATGAAGCAAAGCTGGGGAATTTCTCACTTGGGCTCTGTGGCCTCCCAGTCAAATCACACTCAATTCCCTGCTGGGAAATTGCTCTGAATTACAAATCACTCCCTTTGACTCCCTAATAGCTCCATGATTCACAAGATCCCTGGAGTCCCCTGTCAACTGAAGCACTCAGAGGCTGTTCAGGGCTCATTTCCTTCAGAAGCAGGATTGCTTTTTGATATTAAAGACAAACTCTACTCAATATTCCTAAGCAACAGCAAAGCCAAAGGAGCAGCTCCCAAAGGAGCTTGCCAACTTCCTACCTATGTCCGTAAGCCACACGGAATGCTCTGTTTGAACAATTCCCCTCACTCTTCTCACTTTGCATTGCCTGTTGCTTCTGCAGTACATGTAGAGTTCCATCTGATTTCTCCATGGGTAGACGTAGCCTCCCCCAAAAGCCTGATGCAAATAACTTGTAATGAATCTATATCTCTACTGGTTAAGTTGCTGCGTGGTTGGAATAGGCTCGAGCATTGCAGCTTTTTGGGCATGATAAAACTACAAATGCTTAAGCACTGAATCAGAGTTATGCAGGCCCCTGGACTTGGTAGATTCCTGAGCCTATTACGCTCAGCTCTCCCTTCAAACCTTGTGATAAGAAGCATTCCCCCTTTTTTTCCCCTTTTTTCTTCTCTCCCTTCCCATGATGAGCATTTGATGCTTCTTTCTTTGTCCCCGGCACTATTATTAACTCAGAGGCTTCTAACTGAATCCTTAACTATTTCATTCACTTCTCTATAACAGTGCTCTGATAAGGAAGACTAACTCCAGCCAGGAACTGACAGGAACATTCTCCTCCCTTTCTTCTTGTTTAACATTAATTCCAACACTTAGCCCAGGGGGAAACATGAAACAAACTAAAGCTCTTCCTGACACCAGTTAACTCCAACAGTCAACACTTCCAGCTTGCAGGAAAAAGAACGTGGGAGTCTGTACAACACAAGGGCAAACAGACCCGAGCACGGGAGCTCAAGGAGCTGCTCTGCTTCCCCTCCAATGCCTCTGCCTGTCCCAGTCAGTGCATTTCACCCCAATGCTGCAGTTACCATCTGCTTGTTACCAGAGGCATGTCCCAAATGTGAAACATTATCACTCACCACGCAGCAATACACGGTGTCTCTCAGTAGAGGAGACACTAGCACATGGATTTACCCAGTGCATTCTTGTTCAGTTTTAGCTAAGCAGTAAAATCAGGTGATTTTGGTAGTCCTGCTCCGGTGCAATGGGTGCTTAGGGTCGTCCTCGCTGTCTTCATTAAAACTCCTCTTAAACACAGCAGCTCTACCAAACCTTGTCTTAGAACACCCAGACAATGTTAACTCATGAATGAGAGAGTGCTGCTGCTCGGCTTGGGCTGCCAGGCAGCAAGGGGAGAGCCATGGACCGACCACACAGCGTGACAGCCCCCTCCACAAAGAGAACAGCCACCAACAGGACGCAAAGCACGCATCAAATAGCTCCTTACCTGGTAGATCATGACTTTGAAGTTCCTGCGTTTCAGGAGCTCTGCTTCGTTGGCCTCCAGCTTCTTTATCTGCCCCGCTTGCTTCTCCAGGTTCTGCCGAACCGTCTTCACGTTCACGCTCACCTTGCGCACCTTCTCCAGCATCTTGTTCACGGTGTTGCTGGTGGTGGTGTGAGCCTTGGTCAGCTTGGTCAGCTCGCCCTGGATGCTGGTCACGGCGCTATCCATGTCTTGCTGTCTCTCCTCCAGCTGCGTTTGGGTCAGCTGGATCTGATCCACCGCTCCAATGATCTTGTCCAGAAGGGTCAGCACCATCACACCATTGATCTGGTCCGGTTTGATGGGCTCTTCGGGCACGGGCTCCTCTGAGGCCTCAGAAACAGTCGGCGGTTCGATGATCTGCAGAGTTGTCTCCTCCATGATGGCTCGGGAGTGGCGGCGAGCAGAGCCCGGGAAGCTGTCACTGCAGGGACAGAGAGGAGGGAAAGCTAAACCCGAGCCTCAGCTAAACCCCGCGCTGGGAGCCGCGCCAGGAATGGGGAGCGCAGCGTGGGGATGTCTGTGCTGCGCTGCAAATGGCACAGCCCCGCAGAGCCCTCCAGCCAAAGGGCCCTGCTAAAGTCTCCAGGCTTGCAGGTCATTGGCTGACTCCACCTCAGCAAAGGACCCGCTGCCAAATGCCTCTGACCCACCCTTTCTGAAATGACTAAAATAGTTGGAGGGGAGGCGATGGCTCCGCATGCAAACACAGGCACAGCTCAGCCAGGAATGCAAAGCCCTGAAACTACAACCACCTCCTCTGCACCACGAGTCCAAAGGAGCGAGAGTTAATGCAAAAAGCCTCGAGTAAATAAATGCTCAGGAAGCTGCTGGAAAGAAGCTGTCCCCATCCGGGCACAGCTGTGTGCAGTAAAGGAACGCTGCTTCACACAACTGCACATGCTCAAGTTCAGCTGGAAAATTCACATCTCCTGCCAGGACTCAGGGGCTGGGTTTGTTTTCCAGGACTCCAAGAGCCTGAGGTCAATACTTTAACGAAATGCTTCCATTGGGGTTCAGCAGTGAGAGCACATTAACTCCACAAACATGCAGGCTCCTGTGTGTGTGAACAGCCCCACGGTACAAACCTCTAGGAGGGTTTAGCACAGAGAGAAGGAGAATTCACTCCTGCAGGGAAGCCCCCGGGCATTCCCACCTCAGCGCAGCTCTGCCATCCTTCATCCCCTGACAAACCGAGGCTAGGCTTTGAAAAGCAGGACATGCTTCTGCACCCGCCGTGCTGCGCTGTACCTGTAGGCAATGCCCAAACACACTGTGTTAACTAAGGTTTTATTGGTAAAAAACCCCTGTTTCAGAACTCGCTCGTGTATGTACTGCTTTGGAAACCATGGGGGAGAGATAATCCTTATTTTGCTACCTTTTAACCTCAGCATTGGCAAAAAGCAATTCAGAGCCTTGTGCAGCGTTGGCAGCTGGCACCTCATGGAGCCATCACCAGCTTCCTGCCATAGAACACAGTGGGGAGGTGGCACCGGGGGCTGCCGACAGCAACCCCCCAAGACCACGCACAGGAAGGTGAATTCAGCTCCTGGGAGCGGCAATGGGCAGACTGGGAAGGCAGCACCTTCCCTCTCCTCCCGCAGCCCTACAGAAGGGGATTCACACTCAGCACATCCTGCCTCTGCAGGGGTCAAACCCACAAACACCCTGCAGCATTCCCTGGGACAGCAGAGCAAGGCTGCATCCCAGGCTGGGAAACCCACGGGACACAATGTACAGGGGCATTGTTCCCTGCTGAATGCTCCCCACAGTCAGCACTTTCCCTGCCCCTGGGCTCTCCCCCTCCATGTGACAGCTTTTCTGTGCTGCAGCGCTGGGCTCGATCTGCTCTCTCTGTGCATCAGTCGGTCCTGCTGCGGGGCTTCCACAATAGCCATTATGTCATGGATTAAAAATAGCTTGTTTTTCTACGCCCTGGTTTTTCCTGGAGGGACCCTTTTCTTTTCCTGAGCATTTCTTTCCAGTGTTTGCTGCCAATGAGTCAGTGCCATGAAACCCCCCCCCCGGTTCCAGTGAGGCAGCGCTAAGGCTCTGCAGTTCTCACTGGGAATAGCTGCCTCGGAGTGGATTTCCACAGGCACCTCCAGGCCAGGAGGCAGCGCAGCACTCTCTACATCTGCCATCCATTCCCTGTGGCACTTCAGGGCAGGCTCTGCTGCCCCATTTGGGAATCAGCCTGCCCTTTGGACAGAATGAGTCCAGCAGCAGAGCAGGAGGGGGTGTTTGTGCCTGGCTCGCAGCAGGAGAGGTGCCGTGCGGCCCTCGGGGTTGCTGTGTGTGCAGCACTCACCCCTGAGCTGAAGCACTGCGAGTAATTTTCCATGTTAGGACATTTCATTTTCACACCAGGAAAAGCCAAGAGGTGGCAACCAGGAGCCTCCCCCTTGGAGCACCAGGACACTGGATCTGGACTCAATCCCTTCCAGCACAGCCAGCGTCTTGCTGCTTGGTGGATCTGGTTTGATCTCTGGCTCTCCATGCTGGTGCTATGGCCTAGATCCCATGAGCACTGCGGCAGTGCAGCACCAGGGATGAGCTCAGAGCATCACACACACAAGGAATCCCAGCCTGGATTGGGTTGGAAGGGACCTCAAAGCTCCTCCAGCTCCAACCCCTGCCACGGGCAGGGACCCCTTCCACTGGAGCAGCTTGCTCCAAGCCCCTGTGTCCAACCTGGCCTTGAGCACTGCCAGGGATGTGGCAGCCACAGCTTCTCTGGGCACCCTGTGCCAGTGTCCCACCACCTCATCGCCATTAATCACAAGCATTTAACCCCCAAGAGCTGCTCCTGCTCTTGTGCCCACGTCCGTGCTGCTCCCCTGCCCGTACCCGCGGCCGGGCCCCTCCGCCCTCTATAGCCGAGGCCGCGCCGCGGGATCGCGCCTGCGTCACGACGTCACCGCTGGCGTCAGGTGACGTAACGAGCCCTGCAGAGCAGCGGGCGCTTCGTCTCCTCCCGCCCCGTGACATCACTTCCGCTGCGGTCCAGCCGAGGCGCGCCGTCGCTAGGAGACGAGCCCGCGTGACTCCGCCTCGTGTGCGCGGTGACGTCAGCGACGGGAGCCGCTGCGGGTCAGGTGGTGGCGGCGGCGGCGGGTGCGGAGCGGGGCGCTGCGGCAGGTAACGCGGGTACTGGCTTGGGCCTGGCCGCCCTCCGCGGGGCACCGGGGCACGGAGCGGGGAGGCTGCGGTGTGCGCTCGGGTCCGGTTCTCACGGCGTTTGTCCTCAGAGGCCGCGGCGGGGCCGGCGCCGCCATGGGGGAGCTGTTCCGCAGCGAGGAGATGACCCTGGCCCAGCTTTTCCTGCAGTCCGAGGCCGCGTACTGCTGTGTCAGCGAGCTGGGCGAGCTGGGCAAGGTCCAGTTCCGCGATGTGAGTACTCGCCGGTACCGAGCCCCCGGGCCCGGGGACACCCGCCCCGAGCCTTGCTGAGCGCTGCAACCGCGTTTCTCTCCGCAGCTGAACCCGGACGTGAACGTGTTCCAGCGCAAGTTCGTCAATGAAGTCCGGAGGTGTGAGGAGATGGATCGAAAGCTCCGTACGTGGCTTCCATAGATGGGGCTCTGCTCTGCCCTTCCCCAGCAGCAGGCACTGAGGTTAACCCTGCAATGCAGCGTCAGGCAGCAGAGCGTTGACCGGAGGGGCGGAGGCTGCCGGCTCTCTGTGCACCAGCCGGTTAAACCACCTCCGGGGCTTGCTTCCCATGTGAAAGGCATTCATAGCATCATAGATGGTTTGTGTTGGGAGGGAGCATAAAGCTCATCCAGCTCCAACCCCTGCCACAGGCAGGGACCCCTTCCACTGGAGCAGCTTGCTCCAAGCCCCTGTGTCCAGCCTGGCCTTGAGCACTGCCAGGGATGGGGCAGCCACAGCTTCTCTGGGCACCCTGTTCCTTAACCAAGTAAGACATCTTGGAATAGGAGGTGAAAGAACTCCCAGCCACCACTGGGGCTGAGTGGTGGTTACAGTGGCAGGTTGACATTGAGGTGTGTTTTTAGTGAGCACTAACAATGCTGTCTCTCCAGGGTTTGTTGAGAAGGAGATTAAAAAAGCAAATATTCCTATCATGGACACTGGTGAAAACCCAGAGGTGCCTTTTCCACGTGACATGATCGACTTGGAGGTGAGGATGTGTGTTAATATTTGGCTCTAGGTGAAGACAGGGGAACCATTCCCATTGGTAAAACCCAATGAATTTAGTGGCAAAGGTGCATTAAGCATTGTCCCCAGCTGCCACCTGCAGTGCGAGCTCTGCCAGCTCACACCATTGCCCAAATACAATGAGAAGTGAAAGGATTTAAAAGGCATTTCACCCACTTCAATGAACGCACAACTGCGGGGATTGCAGGGTTTACAGTGGGGCATTCTAAGGTTTATAAGGGTTTTTAATGATGTGAAGAACACTGTGTTAATCCAGCCTATAAAAGTCTGTATTAACAGTCTATAAAAGCCTGCAGAGAATGTCCCAGACCCAGAGCTGTGTCTCATGGTGGGCTGGAGCCAGGCTGCAATCATGTGCACTGCTTCCTTGTTGTACCAGACCTAACAGCAGGCTGTGGAATTGCTTTGATCCCATTTTCCTTCTCCGTTTCACGTCCTGCAGGCAAACTTTGAAAAAATTGAAAATGAGCTTAAAGAAATCAACACGAACCAGGAGGCGCTGAAGAGAAACTTCTTGGAGCTGACAGAGTTAAAATTCATCCTGCGTAAAACCCAGCAGTTCTTTGATGAGGTCAGAATATGGGGGCTGACACCCGGGGAGCTGGCTCTTCCACCACAAGTCACCTTGTTTAGTCTCAGATATCCTTTAGCTGCTGGTTTGGACAGCAGGGTCATTCCTGTGCTTCAAGATAGCTGCTCAAATGGTTTTCCATGCTCCATGCAGTACATGCAGCTGCCCATGATTTACCTCTTATGCTGTTGCTTTGGGGTTGTTTTAGTTAAGCAATGGTTTATCTCAGAATTGGGTGAAGTCAGGAAGGTGCTGGTAGTCTTTAAAGCACATCAGCAGAGCAAAGCCTTGGTGCTACAGTCGAGCCTTTTCTGCAGTGGTAAGTTCTTTGGTACACAGGCAGATGAACAGTCCTGCCTCACACAGGGGAGCTGCAATCCAGCTTCACTTCTCTTCAGCTTTCGGAATGCTATGTGGAGATGACATAAATCAATAATACAAAGTCTCCTTGAAGGCATTGATTATTTAATTGAGCCTTTGATCAAACCCTGAAGTTCTTGGAGCAAAGCTGCAAGTGAAAATCATCAACACTTTCTCAGACTGCAGCTGGGCCAGAAACTGGCGGCTCCTTCAGTGGACCTGAGAAGAGCTTCTCTGATGTCATTCATGGTACCCCATGGGAGAAGGCATGATCCTTCCTAGTAAAGCTTAAGTATCTCAGAGTCCAGGGAATCTTCTCAAAGAGTTGCCCAGTGTTTTTTAGAAGGACACGTTTTAGCTGAGGATATGTCCTGTTTCATCTAATCCAAGGATTTGATCAAAGAGTTCTTCCTGCATTTGGCTTCTGGTATATACGAAGGTTGTGATCAAGCAGAGCTGGGCTCCTGCAAGCTTCAGCCTGTTTAGCTAATGGTTGGGGTTTGGGGTTTTGGCACGGGGTGCTGCCTGTTCAGGCATTCAGGTTGTTCCCGTGCCAACACAAGTCTTAGTCTGTGCTGACAGAGATACTGCTGCTGGTGTGAGGGGTTGGTTGGTCCTGGGGTTGGTTTCAGTACCAGATAAATGTCTTTGAGTGTTGAACGTTCATTCACAGGAGTCTCCCTGGACAAACAGCATTAACCTGATCACCTGGCACTTGCCTGTGTTAGGTGCTGCTGCCAGCCTCTGCTACCTGTCCTCTGGTGGGAGCTGCCTGCTGCTGTTCTTCCAGTGCAGTGCTCACACTGAATTGAGATCCAAATCCATTTTCGACCCAGTCTCCATCAGGTCACCCGCCAAGGGAACTGAGGTCACACTCCAGTGAAGTGACCACAGGACGTTTCGCTGGGTTCCTGCTCCTGTTGATAACTGGTTTCTGTAATAATAAACCAAACCACAAGCCATAAATGCACTGCTGTGTGTGAAAGCGACCTCAACATCTTGTTATCCTGAGCATGAACCCTGTCGTTTGCACAGTACCTTCAACACTCGAAGACTTCAATGACTAATAATTGTTATTCATAGCAGTAAGTTGCACAAGAAATGGCTTCACAATCCAAATGTCTTGGGTCTGGGCATTTGCTCTCTGGAGCTGGGGGAGGGTGGCTTGTTCCTCACAGGACCTTGTAGCCATTTCTTGTTTCAACGTACCATGTTGATGATTATGCTCCTTTTCTTAGTCTTCTTGTCTTTGCTTATGAAGAACAGTATGAGCTGGAGAGATTTCTCTGAAAGCTTTGCCTAGAGTGTGAGCGTAAAAGAAGACTGGAAAAGTAATGGTTAATGGCATGCAGATCCCCATCTCTCTCTCCTCTGACTCTTCTCACCACCTGCTTCGTTTCTGTTTGCTTTGCATCTGTCGTTACTGTCTGTGCTCTGGGTTAATAAGTTGATGGTGGAATGAATCCCTTTCAGTTTGTGTGAAAATTGGTTTCCATTCTGTGTGTGCATTGGGAGGGGCTTGAATTGTATGGCAGAGTGCAGGGAGCCAGAGCAGGACTGTGATCAGGAGGGGAAGATTTAACTTGGTTTTCAGGCCATGAGATTAAAGATGCTGATCGAGATAAAGGTTCTGATCTGAGTGAACAAAAAGCAGTTAAAAATAATTATTAATGAAAGGTCTACTTACTGATTACCAGCATGCAAATGCTTGGGTTTCTGTTACCCAGAACAACCTGATGTGAGTAGTACTTCACAATCACTCTGATACTTCACTCCCTGCTGGTGAAAACACTTATTCAAAGCAAGTTTCCTAGAGTCTCATTTCTCTGCCTTGTAGCTGTAGAGCTCTTTCATTTCCACACAGCCTCTTGGGCTTTTATTTCTGTTACACCTTGGAACACTGCTTTAGTTGTCCTTCCAGAACCAGAGCTGTTGTGCTGTGGCATTTCCTTTGCAGAAAGGGGGTGATCATCCAATCTAAATAGTTGAGAGATGAACTAAAATGATGGAGGGGGTTTATTATGCAAATTGTCCTTTGGTAAGAAAGTTCTTGTTTAGTAAAACTGGTCGAGACGAGACCTTGACTACTGATAAATACAATACAAGCCTCTTACAACTGTATCTTACTGGTTTTCAGCATCTAGGTACCAGCCAGCCACCGGTGTGTTTGCTTGGTGTGTGGGTACCAAACTTCCTTCTTTTGGTTGTGTCCTCTGTGAAGCAAAATTCTCATTCCATTTTTGGTGTTGCCCCAGGTTACCTTAAAGTTGAAAGCATCAGAAATTCTTCTTGCTGGCTTTCCAGTCTAGATGAGGGACTCCCTTGTGTAACATCTGTGAGCTAAAACGAGCATGGGCACAAGCAGCTGAGCTGCCTTCGATGTCAGCCTTGCAAAACCTTGTATATGGCAAATACATTTATTTGCTGAGCAAGTAGAATGTAGAGGGGTGGTTCTTCTTTCCACTGAAATGATGATGCAGCTGTTGCACAAAGCAGCTCTGGCTGCATCGCTCAACTTGCTATGGACTTTTGCAAGGCTGCGCTGAATCTGTGAGTGCATTTTATATGTTCCAGGGTCAAACTCTGCCTTCAAGTGTATTTTAGCAAGTTTCCTTGTAGGGAGACCTCCTGTGTACCACAGAGGGTGGAGTTTGGCCTCTGTTTGTGCTAGGGAACTGTAATTTTCATCATTCCATTACATAAGCTGCAGAGGCAGAAATAACGATGACATGGGCTTGAGTCATGTGTGAAGATGCGGCACAAGGGGATGTGGTTTGAGCATCCATTCTGACTTGACTTGCTGGCGCTTACAAGCTATATTCCCAAGAATTTTAACCTGCAAATCAGTTCCAGTGAAGGACAGTATAAAACTGCAGCCTGCTTTAATGCCTGCCCAGTCAGAAAATGAGCATCTTTTGTCAGAGTGCCCTAAGCAATGCACCTGGTGTATCTGGCAATAGTACATAGGGCAAATAAGGATAAACAGCTTGAAGAATGAAAAGATGTAATCAATAAGTGTGGTTTTAAGCTGGAAGTATTGTGTGTTTTTCCTGGAGGGAGATCTTTGTGAAGCCAGTAATCACCATGCAGTACTTCCAGGTTTTGTTCCTGATTCTGACCCTGTATGTACGCTTATGTGGCGACTAAGATGGAATCAATCACACTCCTGTCATGTAGTTCCCAACTGAATGAGGTATTGCCTCTGCTCCGGGGCATGGCTGATGTGTTGGATACACAGGTCTCACATCTGGTTGTAGGGTCACAGCCTTGGGCAGCTGCAGGGGATCTTGAGGTGGCTTGAACCATCTGTGGAAGAGCTGAGCATATTCCTCTTGTGTAGGACCAGGCTTCCAGGCTCTTTGTGTGCAGGCCCAGGCACCTCTTAGAAACACCTTTGGCATCTTTATTAATATGCAGAAGATGCCCAAGAGGGAATCAGCATCTACCTTCACGTTTTTCTCCATTTAAGAGACAGGGAAAGTGTCTCACTCTGGTTTGTGCCATTAAAAAATGGTTCTTGGGAGCATAAACTTGATAAATTTGATCAAATTCTGCCTTTCTTCAGACTTGTGTCTGAAGCCTCTGTTCAGCTGCAGCAATCTTTAAACTTCTCTTGTATGGAAGCTTTGCTGAGCCATTCCACTTTTCCTCTCGTTTTATCCCTTGCTGTATTTTCTGTCATCTCCTTCCTCTTTTGCTGTCTTCTGTTCATTCTTCTTTCCTTGTCTCCCCACTCTCTCTCCTGGTCCTCGTGCCCTGCATGCCACTAACCAGTTTCATTAGATATTAATTGATTTGTGAATTCAGGCTGAATTGCATCATCAGCAGATGGCGGATCCAGACCTGTTGGAGGAATCCTCGTCGCTCCTGGAACCAAGCGAGATGGGAAGAGGTGCCCCGCTACGACTTGGGTAATGGCAGCTTGGGTTCCCTTTTAGCTGGCTTTAGGATCCCTGGGGTTCAGCCTCCGGAATCTGCAACTGTTTGTGTGCAGTTGTGGAACTTGCCAGACTGGCACATCAAGCAGATGAAGGCTGATCTAAACCCAGCTCTTGGTCTCCATGCTTGTCCTGTGCCCATTGATTTCCCAGCTCATATTTGTGCTTCACACTTTTCTCCCTGCACAAAGCCCCTGTACTTGTTTGTTCCTTGTAAACCTGTTCTGGTGCTTTTTCAGACCCTCTGAGCTCTCACAGCTTTGATGAAACTTATAACAACTCTGAGCACCCAGTGCCCGTGAGAAGCTGTGTAGTTCTGTGTCCTCTTTATTAGCTGCTTCCAGGCTGTCTTTGCATGTGTGTAATGATTTATCCAGACACAAGGACTTGAACCAGTGGGGTCTTCTGAAGCAAATACCCAGCACATAGTCAGTGGCAGCCATGGCTGCTATGATCCTTGCCATGTAATGCATCAGGTTCCTGTTGAGATGAAGACTAACAGGCATAGAAACTGTATATGTAAATGCATTTATTTCCCCTTTAACCAGCGATGCATACTTCCTTTACTAGACTGTTTGGTTCTGTTAAAAGGCATAGCTTGTGCTGTAGTGCAGCTGTGGTTTTATCTCTGGATTTAGAGGGCCTGCCATTGTGCTTCAAGAACCCATTTTAAAGCAAGATTTTAGTCGCTTGCAATGCGAGGCTGAGCTCCAGCTGCCCTCAGTGCTGTGGGTGTTAGGCTGTGACTCCCTTTCAGTGCAGGACTTCACCTTTCTGCTGTGCCCTGGGCAGGTTTGTGGCCGGTGTGATCAACCGGGAGCGGATCCCCACCTTCGAGCGCATGCTGTGGCGAGTGTGCCGAGGGAACGTGTTCCTGCGCCAGGCAGAGATTGAAAACCCCCTGGAGGATCCAGTGACGGTAAAGGGACCTCCTGGTCACAGCAGCAGAAGCCTCAGCTAGGTGAAGGGGTCTCAGATCTCTCCATCTAAGGCTCTGGCCTCCAGTGAGCTCCATGCAGGCAGATGTTTGGGTTGTGTTCCTTTCCAGCACCTACTTGCAGCCTCTGAGGCTGTAGTGACTAATGCTTTATTCAAACAAAAATAGCAGGATGATGGGGAATGCTGTTGAAAGAGGAAAGAACAACTCGAACTGTGCACTGCAGGAGGGCACATTTGTTTCTCTGGCACAAACAGCAGCTCACGTGTGCTGTCTGAATAGGTACTAATCCTCCTTGAGAGAGGCTCTTAGGGGCAGGAGCAGTCTGTAACATCTGTAGCTCATTTCCCCTGAGCTGGGACCCATTGTTTTTTCTTACTGTGCTAATCAATGATTTGAGCACCCACCTGAGGTCTGCTGGCTTTCTTATACAAATAGTAGGCATTGTGATTGGGCCTGGTTTTACATGTGGTGTCCTTCTTTGCCCAAACTTGAGCCCAAAGAGTGCCCAGGCTTTGGGTACTGTTGCTCTTAACTGCTACAGGGAAAGGCTGCACTGGAACAGAGCAGAGCTGAAACCCAGTAACTGCCCCTTTGCTGCTCAGGGAAGGCAGATCATCCTGTCCCACTGACTGCTGGTAGTTGACCTGTTGAAGTATCTGTCTACTAGGAGAGACTTTGTTCTTATTGTGCAACACTTCCTCAGATGGAGGTTACACCTAGTGTCATTATTCCTGAAACATGATGTTAAAATTTCCTAAGTGAGGTAGAACAATAACTTGTCAACAAACGCAGGAAGGGGACCTGGCCACCCACTCCAGAGCAGCTCTGCAAGGAATGTGCCCTTGGCCTCCCTAGAGAGGCAGAGCTGTTAAACTGCTCTTGGGCTCGTGTTCATTCACTCGTTAGCTTCTTGTGCTGTTCTGAGGTGAGCTGCCTGCAGGAAGGGCTGATACATGTTCCACGTTCTGTGAATTGATAATGGAGACTCCAGAATATCAGTAACCCAAGTGGGGTATTCCACTCGGAGGCTAAGAAAATGGCTTCCCTTGGGACTCTTAGTGCTGTAAGGTCCATTCTTGACTGACTGTGCAGGTATGAGCTCTGTGTGGTCAGATCCAGAGGAAGGGAAAGTAGAACTGTGCTGTAATTTGCTGTAGTGCTGATTTCTGGAGCTCTTACACTGTGCTCTTCTGTTCTAGGGGGATTATGTGCACAAGTCTGTGTTTATCATCTTCTTCCAAGGCGACCAGCTGAAGAACAGAGTCAAGAAGATATGTGAAGGGTATGAAAGCCTTTCATCTGGGCAGCTCTCTTAAATACACATTGACATGACTTAATACTGAGATTGTTCAACGCCTGATCTCATGGTGACTGTAGGAGTACAGATTTTGACAGCAAATAAATGTACCAGAAGCAGCTGAAACCTCTTTTACAGTCAAACTAGCCCCTCCCCAAGCCTGGCATGCTCAAAGTAGATGAGTGTTTGACTAGAGAATGCCTCAGACCAAAGGGGTTCAAGTGTTGGACTCGCAGACAGACCCAGCGGGCTGTGAGCAGGTGATAGTCCCACAGGGCAGGCCAGCAGTGAGTACTTGTAGCAGCAGCTGCATTGGCTTGATAGCAGCACCCTGAGCTGGGGTGCCTGATGGACAGTGCCTCCGAGCCACTTGTCACCACAGGGAACAGAGGGCTTCCTCCCACTTCTGTTTCCTTAAGTGTTCAGCTTCTGTTTTGGCTGAAAGCAACTCCTGTATCCACTTGATTTAAAGGCTGAAACTCTGCTTGGCAGTTCCTGCTGATCAGAAGCTTCTCTTAAGGTGCTTCTTGCTTTGTTCAGCCTCAGCCAGCTGTTTCCCTGACTGATCTATCTCTTCCCATCTTCCTTACTAAGGTGGCTTGCATGTCTTTCAGATTCCGTGCCTCCCTCTACCCATGCCCCGAAACACCCCAGGAACGGAAGGAAATGGCTTCTGGTGTCAATACCAGAATTGATGATCTTCAGATGGTAAAATAAGGGGTCATTGCCCTTTTTTCTTTTTAACAGTCTAGTTGAAAACTTCTTTGGATCTGATTAAATCATGAGCATTTGGGGCCCTATCAGATGACTGTCTCTTCAGCTCCAGGTAGCTTGAGACCAGCAGCTCAGCAGTGCAAGACAGATGTTTGGAGGCTGCTCAGGTTTCCTTGTCAGGGGATAGGATGATGGGGTGGGATGATGTTCCTGGAGGGCTGAGTTCATTACACACATGTATAGGTACAGCATTGACAGAGAACTGCATACCAGGGAGCAGAGAGGGGTATGCATGTGTAAGGAGATACCATGTTTTCCAGCTCTGAAAGCATGCTTGTCTGATTGCCTGCTTCATCTGCCAGAACTGAGAGCACTTCCACTTATTTCCAAGCTAACAATGCTGACATTAACTTAGCTCTTCTCTTTTTCTGCCCGTCTGTATTCTCACGTTGTGGTGCCCTGAAGAGCTTCTGCTTTACAGCTGATCTCTTGTGCAGCAGCCTGAGGTTAGAATGCAGACAAATTTAAGGGATTTGAGACAAGCAGGTTCAGAAACTAAAAGGAAAACTGGCTGAATTTGGAGTGCTGCTTTCATAAACTGCCTCGAGCTGGCGTTGTGGAGTGCAGCTCTTTAGCAATTTTGAAGTAGACAAGAACTCAGAAGCAATTTAATGAGTAGGATGCAAAGCTGGATGTGCCCTGAGTCCTCCCCTTCCCTTGAGTCTAAGAGTTTCCAGTCTGGAAATCTGACTTGGCCTGAGTTAGGTATGTTCCAGTTGGGAAACAGCCTCAGTAGAAAACACTTTCTCCTTTCCCCTCAGTAAAAGCCTCTCTCATTGTAATCTGTGTGTTTTCTTAAAGCAGCGTGCACCTCATTTGTAGAACTCTGCTCTGCTCTTTTAACCTGGGTGGAGGGAAAAGTGTTCTCTGTGCTCTCTGCACAGTTCATTGTTTGAAATACCCACTGCCCCTGGAGCTGGAGGAGGGAAGGAGTCAGAAAGTAGCCCTGGAAAGAAGCCTTTAAACCTTTTAGCAGAACTATATTCATACAGAGCCTGAAGTGTGTATTGTGGGCATGGGGCTGTCCTGTGCATGGAATGGGGAGAGGGCTCATTGTCTGCTGGTCAGCCCCATTTTGCTGTGCACGTCTGTGTGCTTTGAGTTTTGGCCAGTGACGTGGCCTCATCCTCATCCTCTGCTTCCCTGTGCAAGGTGCTGAACCAAACGGAGGATCATCGGCAGCGGGTCCTGCAGGCAGCTGCCAAAACCATCCGCGTGTGGTTCATCAAGGTGCGCAAGATGAAGGCCATCTACCACACCCTGAACCTCTGCAACATCGATGTCACGCAGAAGTGCCTCATTGCTGAAGTCTGGTGCCCTGTGGCTGACCTCGATTCCATCCAGTTTGCTCTCAGGAGAGGCACTGTGAGTAGCTGCAGAGCTGCAGCATCCGCAGCAGGGCATTGATTCTTCCAAATGGGATCCATCCCTTGGGGCTGTTGGAGTCAGTCCTCACAGAGGACGGTTTGTTAACATGCAGGAGTCATGGCTGGGAGCTAAACTTTGTCACGAGGATGTGGTGGGAAGCTGTAAGTTCAGGGGGATGCTGTGATGCTGAGGCATTCTCCTGTGCTTCAGGTGTTTGGTACGTTTAGTTAACCTGGCTGTGCTGCAGTGCTGCTGTTTGGATCTATAGTGGAACTTACTGAAAGGAGCTCTAGAGGACATGAGCAAGCCATGGGTGCCTTGAAGTCCTTCCACTTGCTGTTTAAAAAACCCAGGCTCGCTCTTGCATGGGTTTTCTTGTCTGTCCTAATCAGACAATGCCCATCCTTACTACAAGTGCTGCTCCTCCTGCTGCACTAAGTGGAGAGCAGTGGAAACTTGGCAGCCTTCCTCAGCTGCTCAAGTGTATGTCTCATGGTGGAAGCACACTGCAGACATTGAAGCTTGTGGTTTTCCAGTGCTAACAAGGAAGTGGTGTTGTGCTCTGTCCTCCAGTGCTCAGAGGGTGGGTTTTCTAATCTTCCTCTTTGTTTAAACAGGAGCACAGTGGATCCACTGTCCCATCCATTCTAAACAGGATGCAAACCAATCAGACCCCACCAACATACAACAAAACTAACAAGTTTACTTGTGGCTTTCAAAACATTGTTGATGCTTACGGCATTGGGACGTATCGGGAAATAAATCCAGGTACATTCAGACATGGGCAAGTCCAAGACATCTCTCTCAATTTTGTAGTTATGATGTTCCTCTGTATTGTTTGACCTGTGTGGAAATGCCTAACAGAGTGCTTCTCCTGGTAGAGGAGAAGCTTGGGGATTACATTGCTAAATGGCACGGATTGTGCTGTGCTTAAATCAGGGCTTCCCCAAGTACAGCACATGAGGAGTGTCCTCTTTTCTCTTGCAGCACCCTATACGATCATTACCTTCCCCTTTCTGTTTGCTGTGATGTTTGGAGATTTTGGCCATGGAATCCTGATGACTCTGATTGCTGTTTGGATGGTGCTTAGGGAAAGTCGGATTCTCTCACAGAAGAGTGACAATGAGGTGAAGTGGCCGCTCACGCTGAGCTTTGCATTTAAACCAGAGTTGTAGCTGGTTTACTCCATCCTTCCCCTTCAGCTGACAATGCCCATTCCTGCTCTCATTTGGAATCTGGGAAGCCTGTAGACCACAGACTGAGTGGGATAATTTCATAGCAGTAGTGAGTTCCTTTGGGTTTCCTTTTAGCTATTTATAGGGAATGATTTCAGTTGTTTGAAGGAAGTGCTGTAGATAAGCTGTTGTAAACAGATCACCCAAAGCTTGGTTGGATCATAAAGGGGTTCAGTCACTGCAAAACTCCTGCTTCCTGTATGTGTACATCTCCAAGATTCTTCCAGTTTGCTGATCCGGGTGGGTTTTGCTTGCTCAGGGCTTCGGCTGACAGGAGGTGAAGCAGAGTTAAGCTGCACTGAGAGTTGCCTGGTTCCCAGCTGTGCTGCCACTGGGGGTTTGCATCAGTGCAGTTTGTCCTCCCAGCTGCTCTGTGCACAGCCACGCTCTTCTGCAGCCTCTGGGTTCAGATTCTCTTCTGCAGTGCTGCCTCTTGCACCCTTCATCCCTGCCATGGGGAAACAGGAACTTTGGGCTTTTAGTCCGTATGGCAGTATTCTTATCCTGCAGCTGACTGATTTTACTGTGTCATGAGGCAGCTTCCTTGTTCTCATGGCCTTTCTTTGTTCCTTTTTGGGATGTTTTTAATGCAGATGTTCAACATGGTTTTTAGTGGCCGATACATCATCCTGCTGATGGGGCTGTTCTCCACCTACACCGGCCTCATCTACAACGACTGTTTCTCCAAGTCCCTGAATTTCTTTGGCTCATCGTGGAGCGTCCGGCCCATGTTCATAAAAGGCAACTGGTCGTGAGTAAACAGTTGGTAACTAGCTAAAGGGTGACAGTGATAAGCAAGTGATGTATCTGTCCCCATTGCCCTCCGTGCTCAGGAAACCAGACTTGAGCTCAGTCTCAAGCAGCACTGCAGGAGAGTGTAAACGTGCTCTCCATCGAGTTTCAAACCAGCTTTGTTTTCTTCCAGAAGACTTGTGAAGATGTAGTTTAGCCCCTTTCTCACAGCCATTCCTGCCCCGTGCATCCTTCTTCCTTGTGACTTGTCAAGAAACAGATTTATTATTCATTCAGGAAAATCCCTAGGACCATGCAGGAACCTTAACATTGTCTCTGTTTGAGGCACTCCTTGCTCTCACAAGGGGAGAACATTGTTAGTTTTTACAGAGAGAGGACACTGTTGCTTGTCTTAATGTTTGTATGATCTACTTGTACCCAAACAGAGATGCCTTGCTAGAGACCACTCCTCTGCTGCAGCTGAACCCTGCCGTTCCCGGCGTGTTTGGTGGCCCCTACCCCTTCGGCATTGACCCGGTAGGAGCCATTCCTTCCTTTGCTGTCTTTAAAGAACATCCCTGTGTCAGCAGAAGGGCCTGTCTGGTTGATTGTATCCACAGCTCAGCCATTCCCTTAGCAACCAGTGTTGGAAGTACTCCTGAATGATCCCATTAATTCAGCTCCAACTGAAATGCTGGATTCGGGATGGAGAGACTCGTTCACAGGTCATTAAAGGCCTCTTCCTCACCATCTCTGACGTGCAGGGGTTTAATCAGAACTGGTTAGACTTGCAAATCACTTGATGAAGTTACTTTTTGACCTTTCTCAGTCAGTCTTGGAACTGTAAGTTTTGAGTAATCCCGTCATTTTATACCCACTGACATCAATAACACTGCTTGAAATGCTTGCTACAAGACATGGCGTGTTCCACATTCACAGGAAGTGCAGAAAATCAGAGCCATGTGTCATTGTTCATTCAAATGGATAAATATTTTCTTTCCTGTCGAGGATACAGCCCCAGTTTTCCTGCAATCTTTGCCTCCCATAGAAACAAGCAGGGTTTGATTCCTGCTCTGCTGGTGGATCAGTTGCTGTAAGTGTTCCCAGCAGGAGAGGTTGGCTGCTCATTTCCCCCGAAGGTATCTGTGTGGCAAACACATCTTGAAAAGAAACCTGCTCTTGCAGCCTAATGCTTCCTGGATGGTGAATAGTGTTTAGCTTAAAGTGAAGGTTTCCATCCTCCTCTGGTTTCCTTTTGGTGGCCGTTGGGCTGACCTTGTCCTGTTTTCCACAGATTTGGAATATTGCCAGCAATAAGCTGGCTTTCCTCAACTCCTTCAAGATGAAAATGTCTGTGATTCTTGGCATTATCCACATGCTCTTTGGCGTCACACTGAGTCTTCTCAACCACATGTAAGGGCTTTGCTCTGTTTTCCTCGTTGGGGTGGGGGGCTTCTTTGGGGGTGCGTTAGTTTAAGCTGCGGGAGCCCATCAGACTTCAGCCTCTGCTGAAGGAGCAGTGCAGTTGTTCCTGTCTGGCTGTGCAGAACGATGCACGTCCCATTGTTACTGGGTTTAAATCCCAGCTGCTGCTGAGCCCCTGCAGTTTTGTTCTAAAGATGATAAAAGCTTTTTGCCCTACATATACCTAATGCTGTATACCAAATGTAACATTAAACTCTTCGTTTCTTTCCCCCCCTTTGTAGCTATTTTAAGAAGCCACTGAACATATACCTGGGATTTATTCCAGAGATGATTTTCATGTCGTCACTCTTTGGATACCTCGTTATTCTCATTTTCTACAAGTGGACAGCCTACGATGCTCACACCTCCAAGGATGCACCAAGCCTTTTAATACACTTTATCAACATGTTTCTCTTCTCCTATAGTGACACCAGTAATAAGATGCTTTATAAGGGGCAGGTAGGTGCTCTTGGTAAATAAAATCAGAAGTGCTTCATGATATATCTTAACCTGATGTAATTATGAAATTGAGCAGGAAATGTTTTTTCCTCTGTGACAGAGGAAATGTGGCATCGCCCCTGAAGCCTGGCACTGTGTAATGTTGAAGAAGGAAATAATCTGTATATCAGTCTGAGCATGTCAGCTCAGGCTCCAGAGCGTTTGGATTCAGATGAATAGTGGAAAGTGATTAGGATTATTGTCCTGCATCTGCAGTGTGATGCCTCTAAGCTTAGCTAAGATGCTAGCACCATTTCCTCCCAGCACTATCAGACATCTGGCAAATCCTCATTCCCTGCACAGTCTTGTGGATTAATCCCTAATCTAACCCAGTACCAGCACTACATGCTGTGCACAGTCAGCTGGGGCATGCAGGCAGGCATTAAATACAGGGTTCCAGTTGTCCAGTGCTGCCTGCGAGCTCTTGCTAGGTTTTGTGCATGTGTTTGAGCATGTCAATCAGCTGAGACCTGTTTCTTTTGCAGCAAGGCCTCCAGTGTTTCCTTGTGGTGGTGGCGTTACTGTGTGTGCCCTGGATGCTGGTAGCTAAACCCCTGGTCCTTCGCCATCAGTATTTAAGGAGAAAGCACTTGGTGGGTGACTACCTCTTCTCTATTTTCAGTATGAAAACTAGTGATGGTTGAAAAGCCACATTCTCCATCTTGAGCTTGGATACGTGGGGTCACGCTGTGTTGTGACCTGCAGAGTGGTTTTATGCATATTCCTAGGCATGAAGGCAGGTGGGTTTTACTGGAGGCACAGAGTTGCCTGCCTGCTTCTCAGATCTGCATCCAGCATCAAACCTGCTTCTAAAAGCCCTTTATGTTGGTCATGATAAAACCAGTCCATCTGGCTTGGGCTTTGTCAGCTCTCTTACTGGTTGCTGGATGCACTTCTGTGCCTTTGCTGGGCTGGCAGTGTAAATGCAGAGATGCGACCTTGCTGGGGTGGCAGACTGATGAGGTGCCTGTTAAAGCCCTTTGGATGGCAAAGGATAACAACTAAAAGGACAAAACCCAAAGTAGCCTTAGGCAGTCGTTATGTGAGGGGCTGTCTGCGGGGTCCTCTCCAGGTGCCCAGCTGTATGTAAAGCGTATGAAATGTAGGAACCTGGCACACGTGCACTGAGGAGACTTGCAGGTTCTCCCTGCATGTGTGGCAGAGAGCTTTTGGGATGTGAAGCGAGTCAAAGACGAGTTCAGTTAAAGACACTCCCTCTCCCTTCTCTGACCATCTTTCATCCTCCCATGTCCCCTCCATTCGTCTCCCTCTCTCTTTTTGTTTTCTTCCTCTTCCCTTTCTTTTCTTCCATTCACTATCAGGAAGGGCAGCCCGTGGAGGCCCAGGTCAGCCCAGTCCCGAACGAGCAGGCACTAGAGGCAGCAGCGGCTGCAACAGTGAGTGGATTTAAAAATCACCTGATGGATTTAAAGATGGGAGTTGCCTTTCTATCTAATGGTCACGAGAGCACGGAATGTATCTGAATTCCCTAAGTGAATGCCAGCTGCACCTTTAGGGTGAAAAACGCTTTCTCTTGGAAAGAGCAAAGTTCAACAAAATTGATACATTCTGGAAGAGCTACCAGGCTGAAGGATAATAGTTATGTGCCCAGAATGCAGGAGTGCTGCTGAACTCAGACCCTGCAGAGCAGCATGAGAATACCACATCCCCCAGGTTAAGTTCCCCTTTTCTTTCCTTTTCTTGCATATTTGTTGAAGACACGTGAGGATTCTTTTCAGTGAAGCATTTCTGTTTGCATTACTTGTTCCCAAACATCATGTTTGTGTGATGGCCTCCCAGCAACTTCCCGTCAGGAATCATGGGATTTCTGACACCTGCACCCTTGGAGAAACTTGGAATTGAAGTGGTGATGAAGTGGGTGTGCACAAATAAGCCTTTCAGCAGCAGTTGTCTCTTATTCTTTGTGTCTGAACCTATAGACAGCCCTTGACTGCCAAAGCTTTCTGGTGGAGTGAAGGTTGCAGCAGGACTTGGTCCCTTCCCCAGAGGCATTTCAGACTCACAGGTCTTAATTTATAGTCCATGAGCTCACTCATGAGTGTCTTCTGTCTCTGGAGGGAGGTAGAAATCCTGCTATAGGGTGCCCAGTGCTGCTTGCTGAGCAGAAAGCCGGAGGCAGTGATGTGCATTTGTTGTCCAGCATGTTTCCAATGCATGTAAGCCCTGCTTGAGGGCACTGTCAGGTGATGGGACAGGTCTGGGCATCGTTCTTGGTGGTAAGCTGCTATGGGGAGGAAGCCTGCCATGAATCCGATGTTAACTCTGCAGTGATCCCAGCGAGGAGGGAAGAGCTCCCGATGCTTGCAGAGTTCCAGCTCAGGTTGTGGGTTATTCCTTCCCATCTGGAGCGCAGTGTTGGTACGGCCGGGGTCAGATGTGGGATGTCAGCACAAATGTCTAAAAAAGGAACTGCTTGCACAACGTAGAGCTTCCAAGTAAGGGAAAGTCTGAATCCGAGGAGTGCAGAGAGTTCGCCTGGCGCTGGTGGGGAGCAGGGCTGTGTGTTCATGTCAGTCTCTTCTGCTGTGACTTGCCACGATGTGACTGTGCCATTTACAACAGCCGTGGTGCTTCAGTGCCTGTCCCCAGCTTGGGCAGGACGTTGCTCTGTTGCACGTGTCCTCTTGAGAGATGTGCCTTTGGTTTCACTTTGGGGTTGCAATTACTGTGTAGAAATGCATCCAGGACTCACTCAGCCAGCCTTCTTTTCCCCAGCCCTAGCAGGAATCAGCACCTTTCCCATCCAAGCTGGGAAATAGAATTCTCCAGCTGGTTTAACCCGAGCCTTCGTACTTAATGTTTTGTTTCCTTCTGTGAGCTGCTGCTGCACATGGACTCGTAAGAAACCCCTGCTCTTGCAGTAAACCACAAACAACACTTGGCTCTTTCTCTTTCTGCACGTTAGGGGACACACAACTTCGGTGGGATCCGGGTGGGCAACGGCCCGACTGAGGAGGATGCTGAGATCATTCAACATGACCAGTTATCTACCCATTCCGAGGAGGGGGAGGAGGTAAGCACCACCCTCTCTCAGGGCAATGTTCCCAGGAGCAGAATGTGCTAGCTTTTTGACTGCATTTCCTGATTTCCAAGCTGTTTAAATAGCAATGCTCTCAGTGAAGTGTTTTCGTAGCAGTTTTCGTACAGATTGTCCCTTGGTTGTTCCCAGCACTCCAGAAAAAGCAGTTTAGTTTAAATATGAAGAGAAATGGGGCTCTGTTTGTCCCCTTTTGAAAGACCCATCATCTATGGGGCTGCACAGTGGGAGCTGCAGAGTACTCCTGGGTGGCTCATGCAGCCTCTGCTCTGGTTGAAGAGCAGTGCTGGTACCCAGGGCTGTTTCTGGAGCAGTGGAATCTTGGTGATGTTCATTGTGATGGTTGGGGATAATATTACTTGCTTCGCCTTCCCTGAGTTGATCTCGTGTAGTTTGGGTGTATTCTGATGCCTCTTGAGCAGTATCTTGCTTCTGTCGTGCGTGTGATGTGTTACTGCTTCCTGTGTCGTGTTTAGGGAGGGAATTATTGACTGTGTTTATGCTGACTGTGATGGAGACCCTGCACTAAATGTAAACTTATGTTTTCAAGCCTGCAGAGGATGAGGTGGTAAGACTACAGCCAGCTTTGCCTTCATGTGTATCTGGACCATTTCCCATTGGTGTCAAACACATGCACAGTTAAAAACCCATCACAGCATCTTGTTTTCCAAAGGATCTGGCTACTTCCATGCTACAGGCCATTTTGAATTCCTCATACATTCATGCCCATTAACAGACCTTTAATTACTGCACCTCCACAGCCTGTTTGCGTGCCCCTCTGTTGCAGATCTTCCTTAGCTGACCCAGAAAGCTGGAAGTCTGCCTTGAAACTTCTGCAGGAGCCTCATTTGCCTCATGTTGTGTCTTTGGTCATTGTGCGCTGCAGAAAGCTCTTCAGAGCTATCTCTGCCCAAACTCTCTGCTATTTTAAGGACAACCCAGGTTGTTGCCAGTCAGCAAATGCAGCAAACCCAGTCCAGCTTCGTGCAGCTCATCAGCTATAGAAGGGAAGCTGTGTTCTGAGAAACTGCTCATTCATGAGCACTTGTAGCAAGCAGAAGTACTAAAGAAATAGGGGGTTTTTAGGACAGCTCATGCAGGGTTGACTGTGGGCTTCAGCACTCTCAGGTAACCAATTCTATTACAAAACCTATAAATGCCATGAAGTGAAAGCAGCTGCCCTGCAGTGGTGCTGCTGTGAATCGTGCTGGAGGTGCTTCTGCCTAGAGCCCTGTTACATACAGGGGCATCCGGGGCTGGGGGGGACACAGAGACTGTTCCTTCGGGCAGGCTTCAGTGTAGACCTTTGCAGTTCATGTTCTGTGCAGAAAGAGTGAGGCTTTTGACGTCTGATTTAAGTTGTTTGCCACAGTTCTTGCCCTGGATACACCAGGGGAGAAAGAGGAATATAAATAGCTTTCTGTGCATGCTTAGAGCATTAGTCACTTGATGTATTTAAAACATCGTGTTCACTTAAACAAGAGCAGTTTCTGAATCCAAAAGGCAGGGAATGCTTTCCCAAGCTGCAGAATAAGGAACTGGCCCCCATGGCAGACTGCCTTATAAGCTCCTTTGTTTCAGAAAACTGCCAAGACCCAGAGGCTTGGCCAGTGAATGGAGGCACATGGGACCCTTTCACAGTTGCTTTATGCATTACTTTTGCTTTCCAAAGGGCACGTTTGTATCTTCAGGATGCTCTTGCCCTGTAGCAAAGGTACATACGCAGCAGTATCAGCTTGGAATACTGTCTCCTTTTATGTAGCAGTACATGTCATGTAGTGGTGAATTCATGTGAACACGACCTCGCTGCTGAACAGTCTTTTCCTGGCAAAGCCCATGGCTCAGTTTGGAATACCTCACTTTGATGTGCTAGAATGTGAAAACAAGGATGCTGAGACTGAGCCATGGCCCTACCAAAGGGTTTTCCTTTATAACCCCTCCATGCTAAACCAGGAGAAGACAGTGTCAGTGTGTGACCTCAAGCACCATGTCCTGGGTAGCAGCCCCAGCAGCGTGCTGCCTCAGCTCCCCCCATGGCCCCTGTTCTCTTTGCAGTTTGACTTTGGGGACACCGTGGTGTACCAGGCCATCCACACCATCGAGTACTGCCTGGGGTGCATTTCAAACACTGCATCCTACCTGCGGCTCTGGGCTCTCAGCTTGGCCCATGCACGTGAGTATTCCTTGTGGGGCTGAGGTTTGCATCAGTGTGGATGTGGGGATGCAGGGAGCCTCTCGAGCGCTGCTGGAGGACAGAGTTGTGCATGCAGTAGCTGGGAGGAAGGGAGTGGGAACAGCAGTGTCTGCTTGCACAGGGCTCTGCTCAAAGGGAGGGATGGAGCTGGAAGCACTGAGTGAAGCAAAGAGCTGCTGAGCCAAGGCTCTGCCCTGCACCGTGTTGGAGGCAATGTCCTCACACACTTGGCTGCAGAAGCTGGTGTCCCTCTCATTCCCCACCCCACTGCAGTGGGGCTTTGCTTGACCTGAGTTTTTGCTTGAAGCGAATGGGAACAACCCCTCCCCTCACTGAACCCCCCTCTCCCCTGCCTCCTGCAGAGCTCTCGGAGGTGCTCTGGACCATGGTGATCCACACTGGCCTCAGCGTGAGGAGCCTGGGGGGAGGCCTGGGCCTCTTCTTCATCTTCGCTGCTTTCGCTACCCTGACGGTGGCCATTCTGCTGGTCATGGAGGGGCTCTCTGCTTTCCTCCATGCTCTTCGCTTGCACTGGTGAGTTCCTGGGGCAGGGGAGCTGCAGAGCTCCTTGGGCAGGAAAACCCATGCCACCTGAGCTATGCAGAGGTGCCATCACAGCCACCTATGGCTGTAAAAGTGGGGTTGGGGATGATACCGAGGCAGGATCAGTGCTGGAGCACCACAAACCTGCTCTGACAGCAGGAAGGCTCAAACAGGGTCAGAGGTTTCAGGCTTGTTTGTAGTGATGCAGCACTGTCCCGATGGGGTGTGTGACCATTGCTTAGAAATGATGGAGGGGAACTGGTCTCTGCTTAACAGTCAGACCAGAGCTTTGGGAGCAGTGGGATGGGATGGGTGTGCTGGATAGATGAGTGTGCTGTGGCTTTCAGTAGGGTTTTCTTGTTCTTTTAGTTCCATTGTTCACTTTCCTTAGTGAGCAGTAGCTACTGACTGCAGTTACCTTCACGTGCTCTTGTTCCTCTTTGCCATACCTTGCACTGAACAGGGGCAGCTTTGCCTCTGCCCTTTGGTGTGCTGGGGAACAGCAGCTCTTTGTTGCTGGCTTTACTTATTGGCAGATGCTTTTGTAGCCCCTTTGCCCCATGGCAGTGGGAAGGGGGCTGCATCCTGCACATGCATCCAGCCAGGAATGGAGCACTCATTGCTTTCTCTGCACCCAAGTATGGGAAGCAGCCAAGAGCTTGCTCTAATCCCTGCTTGAGAGCGAGCATTGTTCCCCTTCAGCTCCTTTGGGTCCCACTGGGTGGGATCACAGGAGCCATGTGGGAATGGGCTCTGCTGGCCAAGGGCTCTCCTCAGCCTGAGGTGTTGGAGAGGAGCACCCTGTGCTCTGTGCAGCTCAGGTCCCTGCCCTCCTGCCTGCTAAACAGGGGAACAAAGTGAAGTCCCGTGGTGTTCACAAGGAACGCACTGCCTTGCTTCAATGGGAAGTGAAGGCTGTGAGCAGAGAGTGGTAGAGGGGAAGGAAATGGCCTTTTTAGGATCATAGAATAGCTTGGGTTGGAAAGGACCTTGAGATCATCCAGTTCCAACCCCCTGCCATGGGCAGCGACACCTCACACTAAACCATGGCACCCAAGGCTCTGTCCAACCTGGCCTTGAACACTGCCAGGGATGGAGCATTCACAACCTCCCTGGGCACCCATTCCAGTGCCTCACCACCCTAACAGGAAAGAATTTCCTCCTTAGATCCAATCTAAACTTCCCCTGTTTAACCCATTACCCCTTGTCCTATCACTGCAGTAATGAAGAGTCCATCCCCAGCATCCCTATAGCCCCCTCCAGACACTGGAAGCTGCTCTGAGGTCTCCACGCAGCCTTCTCCTGATGGGGGTCCCTGCGGTGTCGCCATCTTGTGCTGCAGGCACCGGGGGCCGTGCAAATGGCTGCTGGCTGCTGCCTCTCCTGGCACCCGGCCTGGGAATCCTCCTGGCCGGCACTCGGGGCTCGCTGCTCCCTGCCTGCCGCTCCCTCATCCCCGTCCGGGGCTCTGCTGAGCCGCTGCAGCCGTGAGAAGGAGCCGTGCAGGGCCTGCCCCATGTTCCTGCTGCAGCATCCAAGAGGACCCTACTGCAGGCAGGACCCTAATGCATGTCTGCCCTGTGTTCCTGCTGCAGCATCCAAGAGGTCCCTATTGCAGGCAGGACCCTAATGCATGTCTGCCCTGTGTTCCTGCTGCAGCATCCAAGAGGTCCCTATTGCAGGCAGGATCCTAATGCATGTCTGCCCCCTGTTCCTGCTGCAGCATCCAAGAGGATCCTAATGCAGGCAGGACCCTAATGCATGTCTGCCCTGTGTTCCTGCTGCAGCATCCAAGAGGTCCCTATTGCAGGCAGGACCCTAATGCATGTCTGCCCCGTGTTCCTGTTGCAGCATCCAAGAGGACCCTATTGCAGGCAGGACCCTAATGCATGTCTGCCCTGTGTTCCTGTTGCAGCATCCACAAGGATGCTAGTGCAGGCAGGATCCTAATGCAGGCAGGACCCTAATGCATGTCTGCCCTGTGTTCCTGTTGCAGCATCCAGGAGGACCCTAGTGCAGGCAGGACCCTAATGTGTGTGGGCTGGGTTTGACCCGCAGTTGCTTGTGACTCTTGCTTCTCGGGGCTGCACATCTCTGAGCAGCAGGAGATGAACAGTTCTGAAGGGCTTCACTTGGCAGGCTCAGGGTGTTCCTCTTGACCCAGAGGGATGGGCTGAGATGATAAAGCATCACTGGAGATACCTGTGTTTGTGCTGGTAACGCCAGGCTCCCTCATGGGTACCACTCACAGAGCACCGGGGCCAAGTGAACCGGGGGCTGCAGCTCAGCCAAGAGGTGGCTCTGCCATTGCCAGGCCAGCTCCAAAGGGCAGGGGGGTTAAAACCTGCCTGGGAAGATGCAGATCCCTGAAGGGGCACAGAGAGAAGCCCGGCTGAGCCCCAGCTGCACAGGGCTCGCTGCTGCTGTGCAGAGCAGTGCAGGGCATGCATGGGGAGCTGCAGCCTTCAATGGAGTTGTCTTTGCCCTAAATACATGGAGGTAACTTCAATGGTTCTCTAAGAGAGAACGTGCTGGAGCTCAGAGCCCGGGGAAGCGGGTTAAGGCAGTGTTTCCTACTGAAGGAATGAACGGGGCTCTCTGGGATGTCACAGTGAGGAGGGAGGCACCTGCAGCCGCTCAAAGAACACGCTGTTAACATTCCTCCTTTCTGGTCCTGGGTGTGGAATGCAGTGGGATGGCTGCAGTGGGATGGTCCCTGTTTAGGAACAGGGATGGGGGGGCACCCAACACCCGCAGCTGTGGCGGGAGGAGCAGGGCAGGTTTGCTGGCAGCGGGACAGGGGTCCCCTGGCAGGGATGCTGGAGGTGGGGGTGGTTCTTCCTGGAAGCCAGGAGCAATGCACCAGGGGTGCTGGGAACCCAACGCAGCGCTTCCATGGGCTCTGCCTCTCAGGCCCAAACAGGGGGTGTGGGGGGGGGATGACTTGTGCTGTGCTTTCCCAGCGCGCATTCCTTGTGCAGGCTGGGCTGGGGTGGAGGAAGCGCTCCCAGTGCTGTGCTGGGCTTGAGGCACATCGGGCCCCCCCTCCCCTCCCCTCCCTGGGACATCCCTGCTCTGCAGTGTCCGACCCTCCCGTTCGAACGTGGCTCCGTGTGGATGCTTGCATTAAAGCAGCCTCCTCGAAGGCAGACAGCTCCTCTGCTGCGAGCAGACACAGACTGTGGCCTAAAGGAGCTGGTAACTGGCTCCCAGCCTCAGGGGTTGGGGCAGGAATGGGCTCAGTGGTTCTGTTTTCCTATGGAAAGCTGTCTTTTAGGTGCAGTTTTGGGCCTGATTCGGTGCCAGAAGCTCTTTTCCCTACAACACATCCCATTCCCAGCCCACAGCTAGAAATACCGGCTAGCAGGGAGGCATAATACAAGCAAACCAGGTTAATTTAGAGCAGTGAAGAGTGGGGTTTACATCACTCTGTAGGAGAGAGAAATCAGTGTTAAATGAGCCCTGTGATGTAGGGGGGTCAGTTCCAGAGCCTGGAGCAGCCAGACCACGTTGCCTATTGAATCCTTCCCCAGAGCTTCATCACTGGTGGGAGATGCTCAGTGCAAGGCTCAGCCCTGGGGCTGGTGCAGTGATCCTGGAACCAGCGGTGTCGCACTGCAAAAGGGCCTTGGATTCTGCGTGTTCCTGAGGCCACCTCCAGAGGAACCCACAGAATGCTTGAGCCATGGTAATGGGGTTAAACTGCCTCCTCCCTCAGCCCGCAGCAGCCTCTCCTTGAGCTCCAGGCTCCCAGTTGTGGCCAGTTGTAAGCGAGCGTGGCCAAAGGGATGCGGGGCCAGCTGGAGCGGTTCAGCACCAGGGTTAAGGTTTCACTGGCAGTGGCTCTGTGTGACTCATACCCAGCCCTCTGCCTCCAGCTTCCCTTTGCTTACAGAGCCCTTCCTTAGTCACAGGATGCTCATGGAGATTAGCAGGGTTCCTGCAAACTGGAGCCGGTTGGCACAGAGCCCTTCCTCCCACACGGAAAATCCTGCTCATCCTCGGGATTCCTCTGCAATCTGCCCGACCAGGCAGCAGAGATGAGCACAGAGCTGCTGCTCTGAACCCTCCCTGCTGGGAAACCACTCCTTGCTGGCTGAAATACCGGGCTTTGCTGGTTGCTGACTGGGCCAAGCCTGATCCAGGGCTGCTTTTCCCCACCTTGTGCTCTGCAGTTTGCTGACCCCTGATGCCTGCAGAGACCTGGGGGGGTTTGAGCCCATCACGCAATGGGAAGCGCTGCTCACGAGGCTCCTGACCCACGGGGCTTGTTTCTGTGTGCTGTGGGGTGATTGGGTTCTCTGCCCCAGTTTGGCTCCTGCTGCCCATTGGGCAGTTCTCTGGAGCGCTGCTTTCTCGCAGCAGGGTTCATTAGGGGAAGCAGGGAGATGGGGCCCGGTTAATGTTGAGCTGGAGGCAAGAGGCACAGCTCGGGCTCTGCAGCAGTGGTGGCAGAACCCAAGCATCCTGATGGAAATAGGCAGACGCAGCTGGTGGGGAAGGCTGAGGGCAGCATCACCCCACCAGGGTAAAGGTGATGTGGAAACACGCTGGGCTCCCTGGGGATGCTGTGGCAGGGAGCTCAGCCCGGTTCTGGTGCCCTTTGTGTGCCTGTGGGGATAGGACCAAGGCACCTGCAGGGTTCTGCTCTGCTGCAGAAGCAGCAAACAGAGCTGTGGGCTTTGTGCTACGTTCTAACCCCAGCTTTCCACTTGAAAGCTTTGCTTTGGACAGTCAGTGATCGCACTGAGCTTGTTGCTGACCCACAGCAGAGTGTTGCCTTTCTCATGAGCTCTCCCTCTTCCTTCCCCTGCAGGATTGAGTTCCAGAACAAGTTCTACACTGGCACTGGATTCAAGTTCCTCCCCTTCTCCTTCGATACCATCCGCGAGGGGAGGTTTGACGATTAAGTGACCCCCCTTCAGCAGTGCTCCTCGTGGCCCGTGTGTCCCAGTTGCATGTAACCCTCCTATAGTGAACGTAACTTATTGCAGCACCCCAGAGCTTTGTCTCCGGGGTAGTGAGTGACACTGGATCATATCCCTTAAGTTTACCCCTTTAAGATAGCAAGTGCCCGAGGTGTGTGAGCCGGGCTGTGCAGCGTGCCCTTGGGGTGTGCATTGGGGCAGGACAGGGATGCAGCCACAGCTCAGGGGCCGCACAGCACATGCAGAAAGGGCTGAACACCCCCAGCCTGCACAGAGCTGCTCGGGAAGAGGAAGTTTGATGTGTGGGTCCCACATCCCTGCCTCTGAGCAAACAAACTGGGAGCAGTTGGTAGCCTCGGGGCTCCCCTATGCGCTGTGCTCCCATCTGTGTCACCCCCAGGCAGGGATGCGGCTCCTTGAGGTGCTGGTGCTGTGTTGTCACCCTGCTGGGGTTCTGAGGGCAGAGCAGCCCCATGGCAATGGGCTCTCGCTGCCGTTTCCCCGCAGTAGCTGTTGCTTTGTCTCTTGTGCAGGATGGAATTCCTCACCCTCCTCACGTGGATGTAGCTGTAGGAGCAGTGATGTGCGTGTGTTAGTGCTGTGTGTGACTCGTGTTTAACTCCGTGCAGCCTGTGTGTGACCACGTTACAGCGATGCTGAGGGTCTCTGTAACCCGCATGGAAGGGGAAAGGCCACGCAGGGCCGGCAGGGTCAAGGGATGAGACCTGGGTTTGTGCCGCACGTCCTGCATGGTCACAAGGGGGTTTGCAGAACCAGAGCTGGAACCCGGCCGTGGCTGTGGGTGCAGCAGTGGCCCTGGTCCCGCATTGCTCACGGTCACTGTGTATTAAACCAACTGCACAACAACGAGCCCGGCCTCCCTCCTGCTTCCCCTGGGGCCTCTGTAACTGTAACCGTGCCCTGCTCCAGCATCCCTGGGCTGCGTTCCCAGAGCTGGGCAGGGGCTGCTTCCCCCTGGAGCCTCCCCAGCCCCGGTCACTGAGCAGAGCTGCGGCGGGATTGACCCTGGGCTCTGGGGGTGCCCCTGCAGGGTCGGGGCTCCTGCCCCGCTCCGGTCCCCGCTGCTTGGGCAAAGCCTTTCCTGCCCGAGGGGGTTTCCGTGTGTGCGGGAGCGGGAGGGAGGTTCCGGTGCGTTCCGGCCACCGCGTCCCTTGGGTGAGGACCCAGCCAGGGCTGCCCCCGGTCCTGCGCGCTCTGCCGGGGGCGACCCCGCGCTGCTGCCGGTGCCCGCTGGGTGCAGAGGCCGCGCTCCCGCTGCCATCACCGCGTTCCTCCCGTTTCCAGCCCTCCCCTTGCCCGGCTCCGGGGCCGCCCCCTCTGCCCGGCCCCCGCCCTCCTCCCCTCGGCACCAAGGGCTCCCGGCGGGTCCCGCTCCCGGTGTTGCAGCGCCCCCTGCCGGCCGCAGCGGGTCTCGCCCCATCCCGGGGCCCGGCCCCGGGCTCCGCCGCTTCCCGGCGCTCGGAGGCGGCTCCGGGACCGCGGGTGGAGAACGCGATGCGGAACCAGCCCCGGGGAGGGGGGGGGGCCGGCAGGAGTCCCGCTTCCGCCCCGGCGGTCCCAGCCCCGCCCCGGCCCTGGCCCCGCCTCCAGCGCTGGGGCAGGAGCGGCGATGGCGGCGCGGTGGGGCCTGGCGCTGGGGCCGCTGCTGCTGCTGCTGCTGCTGGTGCCGCCGGTGCGGGCGGGCGCGGGGCCCGCTCGGCAGGAACAAGCGGTGCGGGAGCTGGCGCGGCGGCTGCTGGGCCCGCGCGCCGCCGCCGTGGCGCTGTCGGTGGACCCGGCGCTGGCGGAGGACGGCACCGGCACCGACACCTACCGGTTGCGCTCCCCGCCCGGCGCCGCCGTGGCCGTGGCCGTGACGGGCTCCAGCGGAGTGGCGGCGGCCGCCGGCCTCTACCGGTACCTGCGCGACTTCTGCGGCTGCCACATCTCGTGGTCCGGGGCGCAGCTCCGCCTGCCCGACCCCCTCCCGCGGCTGCCGGCCGAGATCCGCGCCGCCGCCCCCGGCAGGTAACGGGGCCCCAGCGCGGCGGGGCCGGGCGCTGCTCACGCCTCGTTACCCCGGGACAAGGCGCCCGTTGTGTAACGGGAACGGGGCCGGGAACGGGACGGGGGGGTCCATCCGCAGCCTCCCGCCCGCTCCGCAGGTACCGGTACTACCAGAACGTCTGCACCCAGAGCTACTCCTTTGCGTGGTGGGACTGGGCGCGCTGGGAGCGCGAGATCGACTGGATGGCGCTCAGCGGCATCAACCTGGCCCTGGCCTTCGTGGGGCAGGAGGAGACCTGGCAGCGGGTTGAGTATCCCAGGGCCCAGCAGGGCCGTGGGGCAGGCGTGGGGCAGGCGTGGGGCCGGCTGAGCCTCCGCTGCCCGCGCAGGTTTACCGCTCGCTGGGCCTGAACCAGACGGAGATCGACGCCTACTTCACGGGGCCGGCGTTCCTGGCCTGGAACCGCATGGGGAACCTGCATGGATGGGCAGGGCCGCTGCCGCCCGCCTGGCACCTCAAGCAGCGCTACCTGCAGGTACCGGCGGCCCCACGCGAGCCCCTGCCCTGCTCCTGCGCATCCAGACCTCGGAGCCATCCAAGCTCCAGTAGGGCCCCAGGCTCCTCATGGGGAGGTTGGGGCTCCTCTGCCCCCCGCTCCCTCCCTCCTTCTCTCTCCCAGTACCGGATCGTGGACAGGATGCGCTCGCTGGGGATGCTCACGGTGCTGCCGGCCTTCGCGGGCCACGTCCCCCAGGGGGTCCTGCGGTAGGTGCAGCCCCATGCGCTCACAGACCCCATGGGGCACATCAGCTTCGGTCCTGCCTCCATCCCTTGGGATGCACAGAGCGCTCCCAAGGCCAGCACAGCCCCTGTGCTGGCTTCCCTATGAGGCTGCCCCGTGGTGCTCTCGCCCTGCTCCTGATCCCTTCTCTGCCCTTGGCACAGGGTTTTCCCACGTGTGAACGCCACTCGGCTCGGGGGATGGAGCCACTTTGACTGCACCTACTCGTGTACCTACCTGCTGGACCCGCAGGACCCCATGTTCCAGGTGATCGGGACCCTCTTCCTGAAGGAGCTGATCAAGGAGTTCGGCACGGACCACATCTACAGCGCCGACACCTTCAACGAGATGACCCCGCTCTCCTCCGACCCTGCTTACCTCTCGCGGGTCAGCAGCGCCGTCTTCAGGTCCATGACGGGAGGTGGGTGAGGTGGGGACAGCGGGGGGGTGCCTGCGGGCCCCACACGGGTTCAGGCCCTCAGCATCGCTCTGAGAGGTCGCTCGGTGGCTCCCGGGGCCCTGCCTGGAGGGGACCTCACCCCGCACCTTCATCCCCAGCCGACCCCGAGGCGCTGTGGCTGATGCAGGGCTGGCTCTTCCAGCACCAGCCTGAGTTCTGGCAGCCGGCGCAGGTGCGGGCGCTGCTGCACGGCGTGCCCCTCGGCAGGATCATCGTCCTCGACCTCTTCGCCGAGTCCAAGCCCGTCTACCAATGGACAGAGTCCTTCTACGGGCAGCCCTTCATCTGGTGCATGCTGCACAACTTCGGCGGCAACCACGGCCTCTTCGGCACCGTGGAGGCCATCAACCGCGGCCCCTTCGCGGCCCGACGCTTCCCAAACTCCACCATGGTGGGCACGGGGGTGGTGCCGGAGGGCATCGAGCAGAACGACATGGTGTACGAGCTGATGAACGAGCTGGCCTGGCGCCACGAGCCCCTGGACCTGCCCCGCTGGGTCTCCCGCTACGCCGAGCGCCGCTACGGTGCCGCCAACGCCGCCGCCGCCAGCGCCTGGCGCCTGCTCCTCCGCAGCGTCTACAACTGCACCGGTGTCTGCGTGAACCACAACCGCAGCCCGCTCGTGCGCCGGCCCTCGCTGCGCATGGACACGGAGCTCTGGTACAACGGCAGCGACGTCTACGAGGCCTGGCGCCTGCTGCTGAGCGCCGGCGCGGAGCTGGGCTCCAGCACCGCCTTCCGCTACGACCTGGTGGATGTGACGCGCCAGGCGGCCCAGCAGCTCGTGAGCGGCTTCTACCAGAGCATCCGCGGCGCCTTCCGGAGCCAGGCGCTGCCCCAGCTGCTGGCGGCCGGCGGCGTCCTGCTCTATGACCTGCTGCCGGAGCTCGACCGCCTCCTCTGCAGCCACAGCCGCTTCCTGCTGGGCCGCTGGCTGGAGAGCGCCCGCGCCGTGGCCACCAGCGCCCGGGAGGCCGAGCAGTACGAGCTGAACGCCCGCAACCAACTGACGCTGTGGGGGCCCAGCGGGAACATCCTGGACTACGCCAACAAGCAGCTGGGGGGGCTGGTGCTGGATTACTACGGCGTGCGCTGGAGCCTCTTCGTGTCCGCGCTGGTGGAGAGCCTCAACTCGGGCACCCCCTTCCACCAGGACCAGTTCAACCAGGCCGTGTTCCAGGTGGAGAGAGGCTTCGTGTACAACCAGAAGCGGTACCCGGCCGTGCCGACCGGGGACACGCTGGACATCTCCAGGAAGCTCTTCCTCAAGTACTACCCCAGTGCCCGTGCTGGGAGGCTGTGACTTGGATGGAGCCCCCCCTGTGTCCCCCCTCCCCTGGACCCCTGCTTCCTGCACACAGGGGGGCTGGCGGCCGGATCGGGGGCAGGCTCTGCCCCAGGGACCCCTCCTGCGTCGTGCTCAGTGCTCAGCCCTGAGCAGCACCCCCAGGGAAAGGGGGGACCCGGCCTCACTGTGGGCTTTGTGCTCCCTGGGCCGAGTGCTCCCTGCTCCATGGACCCCAGGGTGTGTGGAGACCCCCCCTCGCTTTGTGCCTTTTGTATTGGAAGAGACTTGGAGGAGGTTTGTGCGGGGCCGCGCTCCCCAGGACAGGGATGCTGAGCCCTGCCCTGCTGTGGAGCGATTAAACCCTGGCCGCTGAGTGCTTTGTTCCTCCCCTGTGCATCCGTCCCCTCTCCCCAGCAGAACCTGGTCAAGGGAGGCAGCAGGGGAGCGGGCTCAGCGCTGTCAGAGGGGGAGCCTGGCACAGCCCAGCCCGGCCCAGCCGGTGCCAACCCCGGGGCTGCGGCTCCCCCCCTCCCATCCCGGCCTCCTCCCCGGGGGGTCCTGGCTCGGTCGCTGCAGCCGCAGCTGCAGCAGCATCAAGGTGCAGGGAGGAGAGCAGAGGGGCCTTGAGATAAGGCTCCAGACACAACACCAGGGCGGGGGGACCCCTCCGCCAGCCCTCATAAACGGTGCGGCCGCCGCAGCCGGCACCGCGGGGCCATGCAGAGAACCACGGTGCTGATCACGGGCTGCTCCTCGGGCATCGGCCTGGGCCTGGCCGCGCGCCTGGCGGCCGATGGTGGCTTCAAAGGTAAAGGTGATGCTGCACCGGGGAGGGGGGGATGGACCACAGGGGGTCCCGGGCTGGGCCGAGGGCAGCCGGTGCTCGGGGCGGGCTGTGGCCGGCACCGATGGCACCGTGGGCACGCTCTCCCCGCAGTGTACGCCACCATGCGCGACCTGGCCAAGGGCGAGCGGCTGCTGCAGCGCCTCGGGGGCCGCTGCCCCGACACACTGGAGGTGCTGCAGCTCGACGTGACCGACCCGCGGTCACTGGAAGCCGCCGCACGCCGGCTGCAGGGGCAGGCGCTGGATGTGCTGGGTACGGCTCTCCCAAGGGGTCCTCAGGGGGCAGTGGGACCCTCCCCAGGGCAGTGCCAACTGATGGGAGGTGCTGGGGCTGGGATGTGTTCAGTGCGGCAGGGGTGTGGGAGCTGGGTTTGGGGGTACCAAGGGCTTCTGGCACCTTGAGGGGGCTGCAGTGCTGGCTCTCTCGTGCTGTGCCCGGCAGTCTGCAACGCCGGGGTGGGACTGATGGGCCCCCTGGAGACCTGCTCGGACCAGGACATGAAGAACGTGTTTGATGTGAACCTCTTCGGGGCCATCCGCACCATCCGGGCGTTCCTGCCCGCCATGAAGCGCCGCCGGGCCGGGCGCATCATCGTCTCCAGCAGCATCGGGGGGCTGCAAGGTGGGGCCCCCGGCACCCTGCGACCGGGGCAACCGCAGGGGAAGGGCCCCCGGTGCTCAGGCTGCGGCTCTGCCCCAGGGCTGCCCTTCAACTCCGTGTACTGCGCCAGCAAGTTCGCGGTGGAGGGGCTGTGCGAGAGCCTGGCCATCGTCCTGCTGCCCTTCGGCATCCAGTGAGTGCCGCGGGGCTGCGCTCCTGCCGCCGGGCCCCGCGATGGGGGAGTGAGGGCAGCTCATGCGCTCCGCTCCCTCCCGCAGCCTGACGCTGGTGGAGTGCGGGCCCGTGAACACGAGCTTCCTGAGCAACCTGCGGCGCCCGGACCCCGACGGCAGCGAGGTGCAGAGCCTGGACGCCGAGACGCGAGGTCTCTACCGCCGGTACCTGCGGCACTGCCAGGGGCTCTTCCGCGCCGAGGCCCAGGAGGTGGAGGAGGTCCTGCAGGTGAGGCGGGGTGCGGGGGTACCGGGGCGGGGCCGTGTTGCGGGGCCGTGGCTCTGAGACCCCCGCTGCGGTTCAGGTGTTCCTGGAGGCCATGGGCAGCGCCCGTCCCCCCCTGCGCTGCGCCACCACCCAGCTCCTGGAGCCGCTCGCTCGGCTCCGCCTCACCGACGGCTCCGCGTACGTCCAGGCCATGCACGACTTCGTGTTCGGCCGCGGCGGGGACCAGCCCTGAGCGGGACCCCGGGGCAGCCGCTCTGCGGCCGGGGGATCGGGTCCCCCCCGTCTCACAATAAAGCCCCCTCGCAGCTCACGCTCCCGGCTCTGTCCCTGTCACCGCCCCCGGGGGCTCCGCGGGGCCGGGCCTCTCTGTCCCCTCCCTCGGCGGGCGGAGCCCGGCCCCGCCGCTCTTCTCTCACCGGGGCTCCGCCGCGAGAGGCGGACCCGGGGCGGTCTCGCTGCGCGTTCCGGGTCGCGGGTGCCCGCGGCTTCCGGGGACGGAGGCGGGGGGGGGGGGGATTTGGCGATGCCGCCGTTCGGGTCGGGGCTGTTGGTGCTCACGGCCCCGCTGGCAGCGCTGCCCCGGCGGGCGGCGGCGGCGCTGGGGGCGGCCGCGGGGCTGGTGGCGGGGCCTCTGTACGTGCACCTGCAGCCGGGGCTGCGCCTCGCCGCGCCCCCGCCGCCGCGCTCCGCGGCCCCGCCGCCCGCCGGCCCCGCGCTGCTGCGGGCTCTGGCTGCGCTCTACGCGGCTGCGGCGCGGCGCGGGATGGACGTGCGCGTCCTGCTGGGGCCCGGCCGCCGCCTGGCCCGGCCGCCCCGCGTCCTGCTGCTGCCCGCCAACGAGGCGCCGGGGCCGCCGGGGCCGGTGCAGCTCGGGCTCCAGAGCTTGGCCGCTGCCGCCTACGGCTGCGCCCCGGACCTGCCCGCGCTGCTGCTGGGGGACCCCGCGGGGGACCTCGATGGGGACCCCGACGAGGACCCGGAGGAGGACCCCGATGCGGCGCTTCCCAGCTTCGCCGCCGTGGCGGTCGGCGGCACCTTCGACCGCCTGCACGGCGCCCACCGCCTCCTGCTCAGTACCTGCTGCCTGCTGGCCCGGGACCGGCTCCTGGCCGGGGTGGCCGACGGTGACCTCCTCCGCAGTGAGTCCCGGGGCGGCGGCACCGGGCTGGGACGGGGGGAGCTGAGGGCAGCGGCCCTGCTGCTGGGGGGAGGCCAGGGGGGCTCCAGAGAGCGGCCGGAGCTCCGCGGTGCCCGGGCTCCAAGCACCGGGGTGGTGCTGCCCGGGGCATGGAGACAGCAGGGAGAAGGCACTGAGGGGGGCGTGAGGGGCTGCCTCCCAAAGCCACAGGCGGGTTTTGTCTCCATCTCCCGGTCTGATGCTTCCCATCCCTGCTCGGTGTTAAAACACTCCCCTGTTCTCTGTGCTCCCGGTGCCCGCAGACAAGGTCCTGATGGAGCTGATCGAGCCCTACGAGCTGCGGGTGGCCAAACTGCGCGAGTTCCTGGAGGACGTGAAGCCGTCCCTGCGCTACGACATCGTCCGGCTCCTCGACCCCTACGGCCCCAGCGCCACCGACCCCGACCTGCAGTGCCTGGTGGTCAGCCAGGAGACCCGCCGGGGAGGGGAGGCCGTGAACCGGCAGAGACTTGAGAATGTAAATGGCTCTGCTGTGCCCTGCCGGGCTCCAGGGCAGGATGCCCATGCCTGTGACTGCGGCATCCTGTCCCATAGGAGCTGCCTTCCCCTCTGCTGCGGGGAATGGGCCCCCCGGGGACGGAGCTGCCCCATGGGGACACTGGGGGCGGCCGGAGCCGTGTTTGTGCTGCTCCACTGAGGCCCGGAGCCCCGTCCCCTCGGGGTGTCCCCGCTGCTCACAGCCCTCGGGGCTCTCCTCTCGTAGGGGCTCCCCGTGCTGGCTCTCTATGAGATCCAGCTGCTGCAGGACCCCGACCACAGTGAGAACGAGGAGGAGAAGATCAGCTCCTCCAGCCTGCGGCACCGGCTGCTGGGGACGCTGCTGCGGCCCCCACGGGTGAGGGGGGCTCGGGGGGCTGCGGGGAAGCGTGTGCCCTGCAGGAGGGGGCAGCCCCAGGCCCTGCTGCAGGGGATGTGCTCTGGAGGCCCCGCTGCCCACGCTCTGCAGCACCAGCTCCTTCCGTGCCCGTTTCCAGGCCGGGTGTGTGGGATCCTTCTCCAGCAAAGCTGTGTCCTCCGTGTGCTGGCAATGGGTTTCCTTCTCCCCCCCCGTAGCAAGACCCTGCCCTGCCTTCGCGCCCGTACGTGATCGGCCTGACCGGAGGAACCGGGAGTGGGAAAACGTCCATCGCCAGGCTCCTGGGCGGCCTGGGCGCGTTCCTCATCGACGCTGACAAGCTGGGTCATGCTGTCTATGTCCCCGGTGGCCCTGCCTACAAGCAGGTGGTGGCGACCTTTGGTGCAGGTAGAGCCATGGAAAGCTTTGGGGAAGGCTGGGAATGGGAAGAGGAGGGAGGGATCCCAGGGAGCCGGCCTGGGCTCTGGAGCTCATTCAGTGGTAGCTGGGCTGGGCAGACCAGTGCTTCCCCCACGTCTTGCACGCCCCATGGCAGAGCTGCTGCAGGCAGTGCAGGAGGCTGAGCCGGGCTGCTGCTCACCTGGGGAAGGCCATTCCCTGTCTGTCTGGAGTAAGCTGCCAGGTCAGGTCCTGCAGCTCCTCTCTGGGTCCCTGTCACTGCGCCCTAGGCTGGCCACAGGGAAGGAGTTGGGTTCATTCCTCCCAAGCCTGTTCTGCTGCTGCCTTGCAGAAATCCTGTCTGAGGATGGGACGATCAACAGGAAAGTCCTTGGGGCCAAAGTGTTTGGAAACCAGGTAGGAGCAGCCCGGGCACGGGCAGTGTTTAATCTCCATCCCTGATGTACACGGAGCCGGTGCCCTCAGAGGTTCGGGCCAAGCTGTGGTCCTTTCTAGGAGCGGCTGAAGAGCCTCACGGACATCGTGTGGCCGGAGATAGCGCGGATGGTGAAGGAGCAGATCAGGGAGGCAGAAGCTCAAGGTAAGGGAGCACAGAGCAGGGAGCTGGGTGCGTGGCCCTGTGCAGCAGCTCAGGACACAGCGCCCTGCGGAGCAGCTGCATTGGGCAGTGTTCTCCCTGCTCAGACCCCTCTCTGCTGGGCAGAGGTGTTCACTGGTGCATCTCTGAGCAAACCCCTGCCTGCACTGGGCCAGGCCCAAGGACCTGGCGTGTGGCGAGGAGCAGCCCCGCTGCCTTGTGACCACAGGGAGTGAGGGATGTCCTCACCCCGCAGGCAAGGCCGTGTGCGTGCTGGACGCTGCCGTGCTGCTGGAGGCTGGCTGGCAGGACATGGTCCATGAGGTGTGGACGGCCGTCATCCCGGAGGACGAGGTGGGAGATGCCCCTTGGCCTGTCCCCCGCCGCCGGGGCCGGTCCTGAGCTCCCCATGGGAGCGCCTGAGGTCCCCGCGGTCCCCGCAGGCCGTGCGGCGCGTGGTGGCACGGGACGGGCTGAGCGAGGAGGCGGCGAGGAGCCGGCTGCGGAGCCAGATGAGCAACGGGCAGCGGGTGGAGCAGGCGCAGGTCGTGCTCTGCACGCTCTGGGAACCGGCCGTCACCCGCAAGCAGGTGAGCCCCGGGGGTGCTGCTGCCCATGAGGGGGGCTCCGGGGGTGCAAAGGCAGCAGGGAGGGGACGGTGCCCGCCGTGCCCGCGGCGCTGAGGTCCCTGCTCTGTGGCAGGTGGAGAAGGCCTGGGAGCTCCTGCAGCAGCGCCTGCCCCGTGCGCACGGCCCCTGAGGGTTCCGCTCCTCCTGCCCGGCTCCCGCACCGGAGGATCCCGGCCTGGCACCACCGGCGAGGAGCGCACCCCCCGCCCCATCCCGCCCGGCCCCTGCGCGGGGTCGCGGCGGCTCCGGTGCCGGCTCCGGTACCCACAGTAAAGGAGGAGGCCGCTCCCCCCGCGCGGTGCTGTCCCGTGTGCGTGTGTATGGGGGGGGGGGGTGGTACCGGTGCGGGCGCCCCCTGGCGGGCCGGCGGAACGGGGCGGGCTGCGTTTCCCGTTGGCTCTCGCGGCGGTCACGTGAGCGGGGCGGGCGGAAGATGGCGGAGCCGCCCTGCGCCGCGGCCGAGGACGCGTGGGGGAAGGTGGGAGCGGGGCCGGGACCGAGAGCGGGGCTGGGACCGGACCGGGACGGGAGCGGGCGGGGCGGGCGCGGGGCCGGGGGGCTCGGTTGGGTGCGCGCAGGGTCGGGGGTGAGGGACCGGGTGAGCGCGAGGGTCAGGGCCAAAGGTGACCGCGCACGGGAGCGGGGCGGGAGCTGCTCCCGGCACCGGGGGTGGGGTGGGGGACTCGGACCGCGGTTCCTGCCCCAGCCCCGCTCACGTCTCCGCTCCCGCCGGCCCCGCGCAAGGTGGACGCAGCGTACGGCGACAATGGCCTGGACTCGGGTACGTGCTCGGCCCCGGCTGCCGGGGCCCTGTCCCCTGGGCCCTGTTCGTGTCCCCCCCGTGTCCCCCTTACTGTGACCCGTCCCCTGCAGCGCTCTTCATGGAGAGCGCCCGGAAAAGCAGCATCGTGTCCCGGGCCAACAGCATCGGCTCCACCAGCGCCTCCTCTGTCCCCAACACAGGTGGGGTTTGCTCCCCGTGAGCGCGGCTCCTGCTCCCTGCAGCGCCCAGCCCGGAGCAGGGGCTCCCGCGCCCTCCCTGTGCGGCACCCAGCGGGTTTGCTTTGATGCCTTCCCAAGGGAGCTGCAGGCATCTTCCTCCCGCCCGGCTCTACAGGGGAAGGGCAGGGGTTGGCCGGGCCCCTCGGGGTGTTTGTCAGTGGCCTGGTGCTGAACCCAGCCCAGCTCCATCGCCCTCCCCCGGGCTCTCTCCATGCAGACGATGAGGACAGCGATTACCACCAGGAGCCCTACAAGGAGTCCTACAAGGACCGGCGCAGGCGGGCGCACACGCAGGCGGAGCAGAAGAGGCGAGATGCCATCAAGGTAACCGTGAGCCCTGCAGCACCTTCCCCTTGCCTTTCCTGCTGGACCAACCCTCCCCAGGCTCTGGCTGCCGCTGTGGTGGGAGCTGGGCTTTGACGCCCTTTGAAGCAACCCGTTCCACACTGCTGCACCCCAAACGCATGGGCTGCGCCTCTGCTTCCCCACAGAAAGGCTACGATGACCTCCAGGCCATCGTTCCCACCTGCGAGCAGCAGGATTTCTCCATAGGCTCCCAGAAGCTGAGCAAGGCCATTGTTCTCCAGAAAAGTGAGTCTGGAGGGTGGGAGAGGGAGGGGGATGCTGTGAACCCCCAAAACCACCTCGCTAGAGCAGTGCAGCAGTGGGGGTTCAGCACACTGGGACCTTCTGGTGTGATGATGCTCTGGGGGGAGCCCAGTGCTGGTCACCTCCACCCAGTTGAAGGGGAGGACCAGGGCAGAGGGAGCTCTGTGGGACGCTTGGGTGCATTCTCAGATTCTCACTCTGTGTTTTCACGCTCAGCCATTGACTACATCCAGTTCCTGCACAAGGAAAAGAAGAAGCAAGAGGAGGAACTTTCCACCCTCAGGAAGGACGTGATGGCCTTAAAGATCATGAAAGCGTAAGGGAAGAGCTGTCGGGTGCTGCCCTCTTCTTCCTGCCCCAGGCTCCCCAGACTCTGTGCCTGCAGCCCCAAACCCCTCCCTGCTGCTGCTGCCACGGCTTCTCCCCCAGCAGCCCTTAGTGTGGGTGCCCTGGGCTTGGTGGTGGGGTTGAGCGTGAAGGTGACCCCGAGCTCCTTGCACCAGGAGCGGCTGCAGCTTCCCAGTGCTGGTTCCCTGCAGGGGCTCCTTCCCCCTGTCCCTGCAGAGGCCTCTGCTGCTGAGCACGGGGCCCTTGCTGTGTTCCAGGAACTACGAGCAGATTGTGAAGGCTCACCAGGACAACCCCAACGAGGGGAAGGACCAGATCTCCGACGAGGTGAAGTTCAACGTGTTCCAAGGCATTATGGATTCCCTCTTCCAGTCCTTTAACGCCTCCATCTCGGTGACGAGCTTCCAGGAGCTCTCAGCATGCGTCTTCAGCTGGATTGAGGAGCACTGCAAGCCCCAGGTGAGCGCTGAGAGGGGCTGCAGGTGCCAGCCTTGGGGCCGTTCCCCCATTGGAAGACCTGACCCTGTCTCGTGTCTCCCCCTGCCCCAGACGCTGCAGGACATCGTGATCGGGGTCCTGCACCAGCTCAAGAGTCAGCTCTACTGACCCCCTGCAGCGCCCTGGGGCTGCCACCTCCCGCCCAGGGGCCACGGTGATGGGCACCAGCAGGGGCTGGGCCATCCCCTCCACCTGCTTTTAAAGCTTCTCTGGATTATTTATTAACTACAAACCCAACCCCAGCACAGTGGAGATCACTAAATAGCTGTAGGGACTTAGCAAATCGAGGGTAAGTGTGGATGGAGCAGAGGTGCCACCCCTGCCACCCCATATCTACCCCCAGGTTCCACCTCAGGCAGTTGTGGTGGGGTTTGCCTGGGCTACTACTGCAGCAGCTCTGGCCTCAGGCCTCTGCCACAACCCCTCTGCCCCCAGGGGCTGGGAAAGGAGACAAGAAGGCATGTGAAAGCTGTTGGTTTCTGTTCGAGAGGCTTCTCCCCTCCCTGGGGCTGTCTGGTGCCCCCTCTGAAGCAGTTGCTATGGGGCAGGGTTTGTAAGCTGTGGAGCTGCTTCTGCCTTCTTTCTGGTTCTGAGGTGGCCACACTCGACAGGGAGGCAGGGGGGCAGCTGAAGGCAGTCACTCCCTGCTCCTTTCACCCACACACACACAAACAGCCCGGGTTTGGTTGGATGAATCGGTGCAAACACCCTGCAGCGTTCCCAGCACCACTTTGCAGCCAGGCTCTGACACTCTTGAACCTGCCCCATGGCACTGGTGGCAGGGGGGGTCGTGGCTTTGGCCACACAAAGGCCAAAGTGGGGCCTGTGCTCTGTGACCATGCTTTGCTCCCACTCAGCAGGGTGGGTATGTATTACACACGGGGTACCCAGGTGCCTCAGCTCTGTGGTTTCAATGCATGGGAATGGTTCAGTTACAGCTCCTACCCCAGCAGCGGTGCAGAAGCGGGGTTCGGGGGTGGTTTTGATACAGAATCATTCTTCAACCCCTGCCTTTGGGTCAATGCACAAGGGCAGCCCCCAGGCCAAGCCCTGCAGTGCTGCTCATAGGCACAGGCTCAGCCCTGGGCTGCTGGGTGTGGAAGCAAACTCGGGGTGCACAGGTCAGGGCTGGGGCTCTGGGGCATGGCCAGGAGCCCTGGCTCTGCTCCTGCTGCAGGAGGAGGCCGTGGATTTCACAGAGCTCCCCTGTGAAATTGCCTGGTTTTTCTATTGTGAAAAGTAATTAAATGTTGCTGAATGTTTCACTGCTTTCCTTGGGTTTCTGTTGCTGAGGGCTCAGGGTTGCCCCCATCCCAACCCAGAACCCAACCCCTGCCCTCTGAACAGAGCCCACCACAGCCTGAACCCAAATGCTGGTGTTTAATGGAACCTGTGCTCGTGTGTCCTGACTGAAATACACATGGAGCTCTGCAGCCACCAGCTCCATCCCCCTCCCGAGCCCCCCCCGGCCCACCAGGGCCCTGCTGTGAAGCATTCAAACCACAACATCTGTAAAGGTGCAGGATGAGCCCAAGCCCTGCAAAAAGAAGACAAAAACCAACCCAGGAGCTGAGTCCCAGCATCGGCTCCTCCTCCTGGAGCAGAGGCTCCTCAGTGCCTCACACGGCCGCTGGCAGCACAACGTTGTGCTCCTCGTCCGTCTCTATCCCGACCTCCTCCTGCAGGAGCACAGTGGGCTCAGCACCGCGGGGCTCAGCACAGGGCCGGCCCCACAGAGCCCACGTTTGGGACTTACAAAGAACTGCTTCTTGCTTTTGGGGTACCCCTCCAGGATGGCGTCCAGCAGCTCGGTCGCCTGCAGGGACAGGGGTGACCTGAGCCAGTGCAGAGGGTGACAGGGGCTGGCTGTTCCCAAGGGCAGGCAGAGCTCTGCAGGGACCCTGGTACCCCAACCCCAAGCACAGCACTGCCTGCTCCCCAGCTACAGCCTCAGCACTGCAGCAGTGCGGAGGGGCTCAGCTCAAGCTGGGGCTGCTCCCCAAGCTGCCCAGCACACCCCACCACCCTCCCCCAGGGCATCCATGGCACCCAGTGTCACGACAGGACCGTCACCACCCCGTCCGGTGGCACAACCATTACCATTCGCTTCCTGCGCCGCCACTCCCTGCAGTACAGCTTCTGCTCACTGCAGACCTGCGGGCAGCAAGGCAGAAGTGAGACCCAGCCTGGCAGAAGCCACCCCATGAAGGTGCTGTAAGTGCCCAGTGCCAAGGACCTGCCCCAAGCCCCAACCAGGGGTTATTTAACAGCCCGAGTGGCTCACAAGGGCCCAGCCGGGACACGGAGCTCCCTGTGAACCCGCTCACCCCATACAGGGGCAGAGCATAGAACCAGAGAATCAGCTGGGCTGGAAAAGCCCTTTAAGCTCACCCAGCCCAACCTCTACCCCAGCACTGCCGAGGCCACCACTAACCCATGGCACTGAGGACCTCATCTCCACCTGTGTGAACCCTTGCAGGGATGGTGCCTGCAGCCCTGCCCTGGGCAGCCTGTTCCAATGCCTGAGCACCCTCTGGGGCAGGAATTGTTCCTCAGCTCCATCTAACCCTGCCCTGGTGCAGCTTGAGGCCGGTTCCTCTGGTCCCATCCCTTGTTCCTTGGGAGCAGAGCCCAGCCCCTCCCGGCTCCATCCTCCTGTCATGCAGCTGTAGGCAGCCATCAGGTCCCCCCTGAGCCTTCTCCATCTGAACCCCCCAGGTCCCTCAGCTGTTCCCCATCACCCTTGTGCTCCAGGCCCTGCACCAGCTCCATTGCCCTTCTCTGTCCCTGCTCCAGCCCCTCAATGTCTCTTGTAGTGAGGGGCCCAGACCTGAACACAGGATTCGAGATGCAGCCTCACCAGTGCCCAGTGCAGGGGGGTTGCAGTGATCATTGCCCTGCCCTGTTGGCTATGCTATTTCTGATACAGGCCAGGATGCTGCTGGCTCTTTGGTTCCCTGATGAAGTGACCCAGGGGTGTGAGGAGGAGGCAGCTCAGCTGAGGGTCTGGAGCGTGCTCGGCCCCAGCTCTTCACCTTCTCCTTTTCTTCTGGGGTGACGTGGTTCGTGGCCGACTTCATCCTCTCCAGTTTCTCTGTGTAACTCTCACAGTCCTTCTTCAGCTCCTTGATCTCTTTGGCCACCTCAGACGTTGTCATGGAGCTGCTCAGGTCCTTCAGCTCTGGAAGGGAGGCACCGCTCAGCCCATAGCCCCCGAGCTGCTGCCGGTACCGGGGCAGCCCGGGCGCACTCACCCGCCTCCATCTGCCGGCAGCTCTGCTGCAGCGCCTGCACCTGCCCGGAGAGGGCCGCGATCTGCGCGTCCAGGCCGCGGAGCTCAGCATCGCTGGCGGCCGGGAGCTGCTCCTGCGGGGAGGCGGCGGGGGCTCAGCGCGGCGGGGGCTCAGCGCGGGGGCAGCGCCCGGGCCCGGGGCTCACCTGGTCGGCGAAGTAAATCTTCTGCTTCCCGTAGACCTTCTCCCGGACGCGGCCCTGCTGCGCCAGCTGCTCCAGCGCCTTCACCACGGCCTGCGGGGCCCCGCGCCGTCAGCCGGGCCCTGCGCCCGGCCCGGCCCTGCCCGCGCTCCCCGGCCCGGCCCCGCTCACCGCCTTGCCGAGCCCGTGCTCCCGCTGCAGGTTGCTGAAGGCGTCCTGGGCACTGTAGGGCCGGTTCTGCTCCCGCAGGTACCGCAGCAGCACCGCGGCGGCTCCTCCTGCGGGACACCGCGCCCGTCACCGCGGCCGCCTGGGCCCGCTCACGGCCCGGCTCACAGCGAGGCCCCGGCCCTCACTCACCGCCCGCCCCGGCGCCATCGCGGCCCTTGCTCATCCTCCCTCTCCGCTCTTCCCGCTCCTCGCCCGGCCCGGCGGCGATGACGCACTTCCGGCGCACCACCCAATCCCCGCCAACTAGGGAGACGGAAGCGCGCTCTGATTGGCTGGGAGGTGAAGCCGCGCCCCGAGGAGGCGTGGCCGCAGCGCTCCGGTCCCCGCCCCGCGGCTCACGCAGGGACCCGCAGCCCCGGTCCTGCATTCGGTGCTCCCGCAGCCCCGAGGCTTTCAGACAGACAGAGGCAGAGACGGGGGGTCCCGACAGGCGCGTTTCGTTCTTAGTGCACAAACGCGACCGCAACCGGGTTCTATGGCTTAGGAAGAGCAACGAGAGGGCGCAGCGCGGGTCGGGACCGCGCACGGGTGCAGACGGTCCGTCCCCTGGAGGGTGCTGGATTGTGTGACCACAACGGGCACAGAAGCTCCTCCATCACCGGTGCTGTCGTTGCAGGGGGTGGGAAGCCAGGGGCAGCTCCAGCTCCTCCCTCCACCAACCCGGGCAGGGGAGAGCAGGATGGGCACCGAGCAGGTGCTGGAGGAGCGGGGGCGGGGGGTTCAGCAAAGCATCAGTCCATTGATTTAGGAAAGGAACACAAAGCAGCTGCCACACGTAGACGGTCACTGCAGGACTCTCAACATCACAGGAGGTGTCTTATTGCCATGGTGTCTCTTACAAAACAGCATCGCTAGAGCCGGGACAGGAGGGGAGTGCTCATCACACACACACACACGGCTGTGCCCACAGCAGCTTTGTTTCTACCTGGAGCCGGACGTTGCTGGGAGAGAAGACCTGGATTCTGTGCATGTTTTAGGAGCAGGGAATGGCTGTCTTTAAGACAGACCAGCACTAAGTCCCAGACAACAGGTCTGAGGGGAAACCAGCCCCAGAGGATCGGCTTCGAGCTTGTCCTGGGCGATGCTGGGCTGAGCCAAGCAGTGGTCTCTAGAGTGCCACACACCAGGGTTACGGTCTCAGGTGAGGCAGTTTGGAGCAAGCAGCATCCTGGGTGCAGGGCAGCCCGTGGGTGACTGTGGAGCCATCACAGCAACGCCTTTGCTCTATGAATTACCAGTGTAGTTTATTTTAAAATCCAAGCGAGGCTACAGAGTCCCAGGTGACCGTGGTGTTCCCAGCCAGGCCCGGCCCTCACAGCACTCAGACTCACACAGGAGAGCATCTAGACAAGTGTGCAAGGCTTTTCCTGCCAGGATTCCCTCCACGACGCACAGTAGAAAACCAGAGGGAAGTGCTGGGCTCCCCTACTGGCCCCGGGAGCCCGCAGGATCCAGCTGGTTCAGCTCAGACTGATCCAGCAGTTCAAAGTCATCTCCTTCCGCATCAGTGTCCAAGTCCAAGCTGGCCATTCTGAGGTAAGTCTTTGCAGCCCTCTGGGGATTGTCACTGCGTGAGGGGCCTGGCTGAGGGGCTCCTGCCAGGGCGAGCTGGATCATGCTTCTGGTGACGAAGCCGGCGATGTTGCCAGGCAGGTTCTGTACGGGGGGCAGGCCACTGCCTTCCTCCTGCTCATACGGGAGGTGCAGATCTTCAGTCACTTGGGAGCGGTAAGCCAGGCTTGGGATCCCAATGCTGGTGTCATCTTCATCATCTATGCCAGTTACCTCTGGGTTTATGGAAGGAAAGTCAGGGAGATCCCGGGCAAAAGATTCTTCTGGGTCACTGTGACCGTCCAGGTCTGGAAGAGGAGAGCGAGCTTTAAACACACACCAACAGCCCAGAGGCCAGGGCAGCACAGCACATGAAAGCTGGGCCACAGCTCCCCCGCAAGGCTCCCAGACCAAACTCTCCCCTGTGCCCCCCTCACACAGATACTGGGGCTGCTGCTGAGCTCCCAGTTCACACACAGGGAACAAGGATGCGGAACCAGACATCCCCACGCAGACCAAGCTGCACCGTGTCCCTGCAGGCAGGGACTGGCAGAGCTGGATCTGCCTGTGAGAGCAGTTCTAACTGCTCACTAAAGCACCACAGGAATGAAGGAAGCTCCATCCTGAAAAAAACAGGTACTTGCATCTCATCTTAGGCAGCAAGAGAGACATCAAAGAGGCAGACCTCAAGGCCAGAAGGCAATGCATCCTCCCTCTGACCCGTCACGCTGGCGCCTGCTCAGCATTCCACACCTTCCAGAAGCTGCCCCATTCCCACTCACCTTCTGAGCCCTCTGTCAGGGGAGTCTGGCCCCTCGAAAGGTTGAACATCCCGTTCTCTGTGTAGGAAACCTCAGCATCCGAATGCTCTGAGTCGGAGATGGTGAGTTCCTTGGCGACCACGGAGTCATCCAGCTTTCAAAGAGGAGATAACATTGAAAACATCACTACTGGGAAACTTATTCCTGTGCCTCAAGACCAAACACATGATCTATTCGCCTCCAGTGAAAGCCAGCCCTCATGGAGGCTCATTTCACACTTTACAGCCCAGCCTAGGAGACTGTAGTTGGTACGAGCAGCTCTGGACATATCTGAGCGAGACAGAGTAAGAAAGACCTTTCCAAAGGAGAACATCCTCATCTGATCTTCCACAACAACTCAACTACAGTGTGCTGGAGACGTGCCCACTCACTCCATGTCCACACAACACAGTGAGTTTATTGTATTCAGCTGCTGCTGTTACCTTAGGACAGAAGGCAGCAAGTTCCTCCTCACTGTCACTCCCATCATCCACAGCCTCCTGGTTCAGGGATCGGTGACGCACTGCCAGAAACCAGAGTCAAAGCTCAGGGCTGCTGCTGGGACAGGGCCCTGTGCAGGACCAGCCTTGTGCCAAGCACAAAGCCCCTTAATCTGGCAAGCTTGGACATGACCCAGCACAGCATGCTTTGCTCCACAGCACAGCAACGTGAGCATTTCCAACTTGGGCTGCTGCACATCTTTTGCTGAGATGAACGTGTTTGGCAGCTGCCTTGCACTGAACCCTCCCTCTGTTTTCAGTGCAACACAAGATGGAACACACAGTTCTGGCAGCTGAGGAACGGAGCAGCTCAGCACCATGAGGAGCTGGCACTGGGAGGTGTCAGTGCTTGCTGGGAGCTGCAAGGAGGCAGAGATGCTTTGCCTCCTTCCCTGAGGGCACTGGAGTGGCTGCATGCTGCAGCCCAGCCCACTCCAGGCTCCCCTCCTGGGCTGTTTCAGGTACTGAGCATCAGTGTCTGAAGGGTCACAAACACAGCACAGGAACTTACGTTGCTTCTCCCGCTGCTTTGGTATCATGTAGCCTCGAAAGCTGAACCGCAGCCGCTGCAGAGCTGGCTCCAGCCTCACGTACATGCGCTGCCCCAGTCTGTGGTACACAGCAAGGGGCCACAGCAGGATGAAGAGCACTGAGGTAAGTGGGAATGCACATTAGAAGTTTGCCCAGAATGCAAACATCCTGCCCGTTTTGTGATGCAGAGAAGGCCACATCTGAGAGGAGGCAACGCCGCAGGAGGCTGTCAGAACAGTGCAACCACCTCTGTCAAGGCAGCAAAACTGAGAGGCCAACCTCCTAGTGCTCTGGTGTGTGGTTATAGAGCACTCAAGTGTGTTCTCTCTGCACCAGAGGCCTCAGAGTCCCAGTCAGGAAGCACCACAATTGTAAAGCCATTCACACAAGCTTTCCTTCTGAGCAGAAGAGCCCCATCCCAGCCATTCAGATCCCACTCATCTCTACCCCTTTTCACTTCTAAGTCTGTATTGGCACAGAGATCTACTTACACAGCAAGTAGGAGAGCAAGAGTCCAGGGATATAGCGGCCCAGGACAGCCAGGAAAGTAAAGACTCCACACACTAGAAGGCAAAACTGAAGACAGGGGAGACAGTGAGTTTCCAAAGCAGTGAATTCACTTGGTTCTTGCAGATTATAAGTCATACTTCTAATGACAGCAAAACCTTCCCAGTGTTCAAGCGCCACCTCTGGGCCCAGCACAGGCACGGGCAGCATTGCCAAGGCCTCTTGCCTCAGCATATGAAGAGCTTCCCAAAGCTAGGGAGAGGCTTTGCAGAGACAGGAAGCTTGAAGGTGAAAAGGACAAGGACAGTTCCAGCATGTTACAAGTTGCTCCTTGCATAAGCCTCAAAAAAAAGAAAAAGGGGAACACAAAAAAAGCAGCTTGACACCTCTTTCTCACTGTTCAGATCCACTGACGAGTTTGACAGACACTGACAGAGCTGGAAACCTACACAAGGAGCAGCTACATTTCACAACCAGCATGCCAACATTCGCTCCCTCCTCCCCAGCCTGGTTGTTCTGCCTGTGCTTTCCATCCCTCCCCAACACTTCACAGCATTGGGGGAGACGTGGTAACCTCCCATCTGTGACTGTATTCAGCCAACGCTGGATGCCACCACGAGAGGATCCTGGTGGGCAGCAGAGGCTCCACACCACGTTTGATGTGCTGAGGTCTGTGCATTCTTACCTTGCCAGGGTTCTGCCTCTTGAAAATGAAGAGATTGCTTAAGAAGTTGGTCCCAGTCACCCATCCTTCAGCCAAATGGTGGCAGAGCTCTGGCACCCCGAGCAGCCGAGGGTGGACGTATCCCCAGCTGCAGGAAAGGCAGGAATTCAGGAAGAGAGCTCGCTGCATCGACCAGTGCAGACACCACTTGCTACAGACACTTGTCTCAATACTTCCTTCTCTCCTCCCACAGCACTGAGCTCTTTAGAGCTGCAGCTCAGGCTCAGCTGTCTTCCAGAACAGCACTTCCAGGGCCTGCTCTCCAAGTGCCCCAGTTCTCCCACAGCTAAGGAGCAGTAATTCCAGTCTCTCACTCTTTGGCTTAGACCAGTTTCCATGCTACTTGAGGGAAAGGGCAGTGCAGAAGCAAATCCATTTGCTTTTTCTGCATTGATTTAATCAACTGCAACCCCCAAGAACTCAGCACAAGGTCTCTACAAGCAGCTTTGGACCCTACTTCATATATTCAGTTCCTTTGGAGGCACTGTCTTTGGCAAGTTCTATTAGTGCTTCTTAACTGCTAGTCACAAGTATGGAGGTTAAGGAAGAGCAGTTCCTTCTGTACCTGGGCCTCTTGCAGAAGAAAACAAAGTAAAACCTGTCATTTGGCACCAGCCCAAGTGATTTAATCAGGAGCTGAGCACCCAGTTCAGCACCACAGGGCAGGAAG